GACCCAGGGTTAATAGACCCGTCCCATTATTAGGGGGGTGTTCCCTCCAAAAGTGAGGAATCCCCCACTAAATGGGGACACCCCCTATTAATCAACGAGGGGTTTATTTATCCAGGGTTAACATTAGCAGGTCCAGTCAATGGGCAATGTAGGAAGCGCACGGGGAATGCACCCATTCTGATTGCCATATAGCTCTGATTTTCCACATGAAACAATCCATGGTCAATTGGGGAGGGGTGAGAGTTGATCAAGAAGTCCAGTAAATGGTCATTTTGGGGAGGGATATGGTTTGATCAAGAAATCCAGTTCATAGTAAATCTGGGAGGGACATAGCTGAGGTTGGGGGGGGGGAATCCAATATCTTTAAGGTGACTGCATATTTTGATTCCGGCGCACATGATCACTTACTTTTTGTTTGAGGTTAATAATGGTTGTGGATGTTGTGGAAAACTTAGACCAATGTAAAGGTTGCTGCCAACGAAACCATGACCCCCGGCAGGCCTCCATTGGGCGTGGACGTGTGAGAGCAGTGCAGCTCGCTGCATTCTGCAAAAGGTTACCTCCATGGCTTTAAACATTGCCTGTTTTGCTTGGCGGGGTGACATTGAATGGGGGAAGGCCTGATTTTCAGATTGAGCAGGTTTGGGACCATCGACTTGATTTGTTGGTTCTCGGCCAGCGCCAAGGTCTTGGCTGCCCTGGGCGCCTCTTTGCTCTTCGCGGCCTACCGCCTCCTCGCGTGAAGTGGGAAATTCAGCGGGCTGAGCCGAAACCGACGCTCCGGAGGTTCCGGGGTGGCCTTGGAAAGACCGGGGGGACAAATCAGTAATCCACCCTACATTGGCGGGGTCGCGGGGTGGCCTCAAGTTTTTCCCGGAACGCGACTCCGGTCAAAATCAAGCCTTTCTACTCAGATCCGGGGTTGACATTCGTTGCCTTTGGCGACCCAGCAAACCCTTGTCTTTCGAGCCACCCTGCAGCCAACAGCCAGGGGTTTGGGACGCTGCAACATGCCGCCCCCGCTTTCGGCTGTGCCGACGCACGGTTTCGAGCGCCCAACCCGACAGGGATGTGGAAGGCAGGGGTTGCGTCACATTTAGACGGGGTTCTGCGAGCCACTGCCTGGCTTGAAGGGGAACGAAGGGCTATCCAACCAGCGATAGAAAAAAACGCCTACTCTGGATGGCCGAAATCCTGCACCACTTGGAGGCCATGGGAAACCTTCGTCTGTTGGTATTTCCGGGGGATTCATCATTCCAGGATTTCTTAGGTGGTGCGAAATGGGGATTTCATCCACCCACTGTATGTTGGTAGAAGTCTTCTCATCACTAGATTTATGCGAGGTTCAATTGTTTCAGAGGGACACGGGGGACTCACTAACCAGTACGGGCAATGAATTTTATTCGACCGCGGCTTCCATGTGCGCGTCTTTTAGGCTTTGGAACAGGTGGTTTTCTTTCGATTTCCATTTACATTCCAAAACAATGGTGCCCTGAAAAGTACACCCCCACATCTACATACTTAATTCCCCTGTGCTCAGGTGCTCACAGGCAGTCGATTTTTGAGAGCCGCTAGTTTGAGACCTACCTTTTGTTTTTCTTTCGAGGAGCTCCTACACACTTCCATTCCACAGCCAGCATCCTTTCCAAAAGAAGAGCTCGGTTTCCGGAGGGCCTAAGTGCCATGTTCCACACGAGGTCGGTTGGAAACCTTCGAGAATGTGCTAAACTTGGCCAGCAGAAGTTCATCAGCTCAGGGCGAAACGTTTCGCCAGGGTCGGGCTCCGAGACTTGGAGTTTGGGCCAAGGGGACCTCGGGCATGGCAAGAGATGCGAATTCGAGGGTGACCGAACATCGGCCTGGGCTGGGTTCAGTGAGTCACTGGACGCAGGGCTCGGTGAGAAATCTGGATCCTAGGGGTCTCATTCAGAGCTGAATCAGTGGAGCTGGAGATGCTTCGTGTGACGAAATGTTTGTTCAGATGGTGTTCCTGTAGTATTTGGTTTCCATTTCAACCCCCACGGGTACCACCCAACTGGAGCTGCACCAAGCATCGAAATTGGAGAGCCATGCGTGGGAGGCAGGAGCTGAGGCACCAGGCACCAGAGAGACCACGGGGGGACTTGGAAAATTGCCTTCAGCTCATTCGCCGCGCATAGGTGTTTTGGTCGAACAAATTCGATGGGTTTCGATTCCTGGTTTACCAAATCGGTGGTTTTATCTACCAGGGAAACCCATCTCTTTCCTTGCAAAGAACACCTATGTAAATGACCCATTGCTTTTTCATATTGGAGATTTGAGCCGTATGGATGGTTGCGGATTCCGGAAATCCCTGAAATGAAGCCTATGGTTCCGCAGTTCCAGCTACCCCTGGACTTGGAGACCGGAGGTTAGAGGAGTTTGATCTTTTCAAGGGCCAGGAAATTGATCAGATCCACGAAAAGGAACCACTGAGAGTGGTGCCCGCTAGTTCGAGCCGTTTTTTTTTTTTTTGGGGGGGGGGGCGTTTCGTTTACAAGCAACTACTAGGCAAGGGAGCCCCCCTTGTTCCCATGACCATTGTTGGGGCCCTTAAAGTGAACATTTCGAGGGTTTTGACAATATTTTTGGGGGAACCCCTTTGAAACACAGGTTTTTAGTGGCGAGCTCTGAGAATGGATTGATTTCCCTTCAGTCCAAAAAAAGCACCGACCAGTGGGCCTACAACTCAGGGGAACCCTGAACTATTGGGGTTCTAGCAAATCGGTTCCAGCTTGCTTGCACCAAAGGCCAAGCAGTGTTTCATCCTAGAACTCATTTGTTAGAACCCATTTAGGGTCACCCAAATAGGTGAATCGGAAGGACATCCACCATTTGGGGTCCCCTAAAGGCAAGACCAGCCCCCCCCCAGCCGCCCCCTGCATGGTCGTTTCGGTCATCGGATCATCGGGCGAATCGGGTCCCGTCTCTCAGGTTCTGGTCTCGGCACAGCACACGGAGCCACTGAAGCTGAAACTGACCAGGAACGGCGAGGAGCCGCTCGGGCTGCTTTTCTTGTTTGAGTCTCCTCGAACATTTCTTTGGCGCATTTTGCTTGGATGTTAGGACTTCAAATATTTGTTTGCCAACAAATGGGTTTCCATTAAATCACTAATTATGATTTTTCTTGGTGGCTCCCAGCCATCCGGTCCCTTAGCTTTTTAGATCCTTTTAGTGTTTATAGTGGTAGTTTTCATTTAAACCACCAAAAGTTAGTCACTTTCCGCGGGGGATCCGAAAACGGGCAGCCCAAAACTTCTGTCTTGAGACAAACCTAAGACTCTGCGAGCCGGAGCTCGCCGTGGCTGCTTTTGTGGTCTGGACCAAATGATCGCATCGCTTTTGTGCGTCCTAACTGTGGATGGTTGCGAAATCCAGAAATCGCACCACCGAACTCAGAGACCCTGGTTTCTGATTCGATTCCCCTGTAAATATCAGGCAACAATGGTTTCAACCATGGTTTCCAAGTGGTGCAAGATTTCCCAACCATCCTCAGTATTGGTGTTGCTTCGAATGGGTTGCTTGGGCTTGGGTCTTCGAGTTGGGTCTGCTTCGAGCTCGGCGCATTGGAGTCCTACAGCTTGGCAGTTCGCTTGGGGTTTTTTCCTTTTGCTACCCAGTTCTCAGCTTACTTTGGGTTCAGACCTGACCATTCCAGGGATCCCTGAGTCTCTTTGAACGAAAGCCAGGAGGCAATCAATTCTTTGCAGGTCCGCTGAAAAATCGAGAAGCTGGGCAGCCATCCCCACAGCCCCATTCGGGTTTCGTCTTCTTTAGGGCCCCCCAAAATGGTTGGTTTCCTCTTGGTTTCCCTTAAAGCCTCAAAACAGACAGCTGCATATGTTTTTTTTTCCCCCACTTTTTTTTTTCCATGGCTTCAACCAACGTACCGTTCTTTTTTTTCCCACCGGCGTCCGTGCCGCTCTGCTTGCCAGGAGACGGGCTTCCTCGTGCTTCAGGCCTGAAGATCCGCTCCCGGCGGGGTCGGTCAAGTCAAGGCCAATGGACTCAAACCATTGAAACCCAAGGGGCTTGGGTGAATATGCGTCTGGTGTTTTCGGAGGGAAGCCCAAGGCTTTTATGGGAAGACAAAACAAAAAGACAGACGGTTTTGAGGGTACCAACCGGTTTTTGAGGGAAACCCTATTTTTTTTTGGTGGTTTCAAAGGGAACCCAAAAGGAGAACTACAATCATGGGGTCCCCTGGAAAAAAGGCACGCCAAAAATCATCATTCTTTACCCTTCAAGAGTTTCATCCTGTAGATTAGTTCGACCATTCTTTCTTCAAGGAGGTTGACTTTGAGGGGGTTTAGCAGCTGCACCAGCGGCTTGCCAAGACGGAGCGGTTGCAAGGGCAAAGAGATCTCTTGGATGCAGCATGGGTGTGTGTCTGGAATTTTGAGGGGACCCCCCCTTAGAAAAGCAGAAAGAAAGGCGGGTGGTGCTTCTGGTCTCCCTGTGAAACTCACATGAGGGCACCCAAGAGGCATCCATCCACGGCTTGCAACTCTGCAGGGTGAAAAAACGGTCGTGGGAGAAAAGCCGCTGGCATCTCACAAGTTGGAAGTCGTACCTCTTAAAAACACGACTTTTCTAACAACTTGTTGGGGGGTGACATGGGCAACTTTGTCTGCAAAAGATTAAAACTTGTTCAGGGCTTGGAGTTTTAAGGGGTAAGTTGGAAATGGAGGAAGCGCTTCCTGTTGGCACCTCGGATGGGGCCACATTTGACATGTACAACTTGGGCAAGTTCTTCAGAGGTAGTGTCCACAGAGCATGTGCTCAACAATGCACTGCTGAATCTCACAGACGAGACATGGGCAGTCAGCAAGCAAATCGTGGCTGCGCCTTGCAGTTGGCCTTTGCGAGGCTCGCGAGGCTATGCACAATAACACCTGGGTAACTCAGGTCTAGTGGGGCATAGTTCAAACCATAGATAGGTGAGGTTGTCCGCCCGTTTCATTCTTTACCGGATTTTGGTCAGACTGCTCCTACCTTAGGGATTGATTTCGACTGAAAATGGCATATATATATACATATAAATTAGATCCGATGATGCGTGCACAATAGATCCCCTGATACGTGCACCATAAACAAATACCCACAGTTTTGCATTTGATGTACAGCGGTCGCACAATCCCCCCCCCTTTCTGGTTTCATTATCCTCCTGTCTCCTTGGCCGCCGAAGCCCCTAACAGTCACTGGTAGTAGCTATTTGGTTGCAATGGCCCTTGCGCATCGACCCTGAATCAGTATGTGGCTGTGGGTCAAAAATGCGTACCCAACATGACTTGCCCTGATAAATGGAACCAAAGACTAAAACCTGCGGTCCCTGGGTTTGTTTTGACAAATACCCGTGTGACCCTGGCGTGATTTTGGAGGCGGGCTTGCAGGAAGCTGCAGATCAGGAGGCGAGGAGGGAGGGAGGCTCTTCTTCGTTGGCGGCAGTGGTGAATGAGAAGAGCACGCGTTTGGCGGGGGGAAGTAGATTTGTGAGCCTCCCAGTTGCAGTTTGGCCATGGGTCAAAATCCCTCCAGTGAACATCCCAATCTTCACTAAAATAGACTAAAATGGGTGGTACACATACCCCAAAATGGTACCATTGGTTTTGACCCAGCCATTTCCTTGCTTCGGACAGCAACAGCTAAGCGGGCTCGTGTTAAGGTTTTGGCCCATCAACGGACCGCTTTCAACCGGAAACTTGGGCAAGGGACGGACGGACGCGCCAAGGGCCACTCAGGAACCGTGGGAGCACTTGGGGACCAATGGATGTGGGCAACCCAGCGGCAACATGCCGTGTACCATGAGCTTTTGCTTGAGTCCTTAGGTATGGTATGTGTTGGTGCTTCTGAGTTTTGAACCCATGGTAGAGGGTAAACAGGTGGGACACCACTCCAAACCTCCAAACCTCCAAACCACCAGTCAAAAGGGCAGCTGTGGTCTATGGTCTTGGCCCGCTCGATGCTATTTTTTGGCACCACGAGGGATAGTCATAGGCATGGCCCACTTCGGTACGCGGCTCTGTGCAACCTTCGGAGTTCATAAGCCCCCCTCGAGCTGGACTTGGTTCTCAGAGCTGCATGTGGTGGGGCCGACAGGCTGCTCCCAGCGTCAAGACGCCCCAGAAAATTGATTTGGTTTCCGTTAAAGGGGTACACGTCGGTTTGGTTTCGTACCCACGTGCCCGAATTTCCGCGGCTTCCAAAGATCTCGTTCCCGCCAGAACTGGCGTAACCTGTCCAACCTGCAACTGAAGTTGAACCCATCGTGCTTAAGCAGCGTTTCCCGCGCGTTGTGCCCATCGGGTTTGATTGCTCAATTCTCTAACCCGGGGGTCTTTCTGTCATCTTGGTGATGCATTGTTGAGCCATCGATTCCGATTCGAGCGGTTTTGCCACCCCCCATGCTCAAGTGCGAGCTGCCATTTCCATGTAAACTGTTGGTGGGAGGGTGTACCCTGAGTCTAACAACAATTAACACCATGGGGTTAGTATAATCATTCAGGAGTTTCATCCGAATTTGGTCCAACGGCTTGCTTTTGAGGGTGACCTAGGGTATAGGCTGAATGGGTGTGTTTTTTTGAGGGCATTTTTTGTGGTTTTCAGGGACAACAAAAAGGACACCCACCAGTTTTAGGGGTGCCCTAAACAAAGACACCCACGTTCAGCCTTTGACAACGTGGTTGCCAGAACTTCACCCTCGTCAGCGCCAAGAAGTTCGAATCGCCGGCGCAGATCATGGAAGGCCTGGCAACTTTTCTCGAATTTGGAGATGTCACGGATTTTTTCCAGAACCCCCCCCCCCCGATGGCAAAACACCACCACCACCCACCAGCAGCAGCACGAGCAGCAGCAGCAGCAGCAGTAGCAGCAGTAGCAGCGCTAGCACCAGCACCAGGACCATCACCATTAGTACCAGCACCAACAACAAAAAGAAAAAGAACAAGAACAACAAAAGGGAAGCAGCGCAGGGTACCCCGCGAGATGCGAGCGCGAGTCAATGGAAGAAGTGAGTGTGGAGAGTGCGTGAGTGAGTGAGTGGGTGAGTGGGTGAGTGGGTGGGTGGGTGGGTGAGCGAGCGAGCGAGTGAGTGAGTGAGTGATGGGCCACGAAATTTGCAAGCAGTGCTACGCCTGTCACGCAAAACTGGGCCCGCAGCTGCGCGCTCGACAACATCCAATCCCTGTAGACAGCCACGAAATGCTGCGCCATGCCGCAGATGCAGGAAATGCTGCGCCTGCCACGAAATTGGCAAGCCATCTCCAAAGTGCTGCGCCTGTCACGCAAAAAGGGGCCCCCAGCCGCGAACGACAACGACAACAACAACGTTTTCAACAGCTCTCCTTGTCATCAGGACGGTCCACGGCCTTCACGCTCACGCTGAAGGAGGCACCTTTAGGCACCTCCAAGCAGGCCTGGATCGGTAAGGCGGGACCCGCTGCGTTTTGGTGGTGGGAGGGAAGCGTTGAGTCATCCAACTGAGTTACGAGTTGCATGCCGCTTGCATGAATTTCCTGGCCGCTTGAAACCTTTGTTTGTGGCGGTGCAGACGAGAGGGAAGGATATCCATGCGTAGAGTCATGCCATCTCGGTGTCCTTACGTTTTTTGAGGGAAACCAACAGGAAAGCCCTTTCCGGGGGCTTCCCTACAAAAAGATACACCCATCTAGAGTCCCGAATTCATGCGCCTGTTGGGCACGCTCCTTTAAAGGGATTCTAACTTGGATTACCCAGTTTGTGTCGTGCAACTGCGCGCTGCTCCAGATTGTTTTGTGTTTTTTGCACGCCAGCTTCTAGTACTTTTGAGCTGAAGCTGGTGCATCGTTTGGGCAATCAAATGACCCATGCTCTGCTCATGATTGCTAGGCGATGCTGAGCTCAAGTCCCCTGTCAGGCAAGCCAAGCGCAGAAATCTGATTCAAGTCTCGGAGGACCTGAGCCGGGCCCACCCCGAGTTGGCCTTCTATGAAGAGGCACCGTCAGCTTGCGGATTCGTTTTGGGGTTCTGGCGGTGGCGTTTTTTCTCCGAGGCTGCGTGGCGGCTTCACCGCTGGTTTTTGGGAGCGGATGGTCCTTTGGAGTGGAAGCAGTGAAGACCCCATGATGATTCCATAGGCTTGGGAAGGTTGTTGCCATGAGAGAAGTGATGGCAATGCCACCCTCCAATAAAGCCAGGTCCCAAGATGGGCCAAACCAGGTCCCAAGATGGGCCAAACCAGGCCTGGAGAGGCTCTCCCATGTTTTGTTTCTCTTTCCTCGGCTTTAGTCTCCGGACTCTGTGCCCCAGTTTGCGCTTTTGGTGCAAACCTGGGCAGGCTCTGAAGCCCCCCAAAGCCTGGTGCCATTTAAGAACGGGATCTATTACCTAGCTGGAACACCCGGACCCGCTTGACCAGATGTTCAAAATCTGAGACCAATTCCACATAGTGCGGAAAGTGGTGCACAAACCTGTTTTGGCCACCCGGGTGTTTGGCACACACTGGGTTCCTGCCTTGCCATCGCCCGCCGCCAAAAAACACTTCGCAGCTTGGCTGAGAGGTAGTACGGAGATGCCGTGGCCGAGACCCGATAGAGCAGAGCGACTTGCAACAGTCCGGAGATCAAGATCCGAAAGGCCTCAGTAGGCTTTGTCACAAACGCAAGCAGAACCTCTCGCGAGCTCGCGAGAAGAGGTGTGCCAGCTCGCTGCCCTGTGCTTAAGCTGTGTCAGGTTGGAGTCACCTGTGAGTCACGCGCGAAATTTTGCCAGTTGCCCCAAAGAAGCTGGCTAATGTTCAAATAGAAGCATTTCGCCGCCAAGCCTCTAGCTTGCTGCATGTTTGCATTTGTCCTTTGTAATCCGTGCGCGGATTTGTGGGGCGGTGTTGTAATATGTCTGGCCTGAGCCAAAGTCTCTCTTTTGCGATGCCTGATGCGTGACGAATCTGAGGGTTTGACAGTTGCCGAGCATTTTTCCGCCTTTTGCTGGTGACTTGATTTGATGTTTAATAGTTTGGTTTCCAAATAAGCCACAACCCCATACGAATGAAAGGCATTCTGTATTCCTTGCCCTTCGGAGGTCCTGAGGGGGGTCCTGAGGCAATGATGATGTTCAAGGGCAAGGGCAAGGGCATGAAAGGCCTCAGCAGCCCCAAGGACCGCGCTGTGATTCGGTCAAGTCTGGAAGGAACAGCCCCCGAAAAAGCCAAAGCCGGACCAAGTGATGACGGATCCCGGCCCCTCAGGGATCAACAATTGGAACGGGTGGGGTACGTGAGTCATGTATCTTGCTCAGCAGCTTGTGTTTGGTCTCCAGACTCGCTTGGGGTCAGTGTCCGGACGAAGCTGTGGGAAACGTTTACATCCACTCGATTCTCGACAAGCTAGGGTGGATAGTTCTGGAGGGGGACTAGAAATCTTCGTTTAATGCCTTCAGACGTTTGCAGGTTTGACGACTTCCTGAGTTTCTGCATGCACCCCTGATTCGGCCCCTGATCCTTGGTGGACATTTTCCACTTCCTCTACGTTACTCCACCCGAGTTTCCTAGCTGAACCTTCTTCTCCCCTTCGCCGCTATTTTCCACGAGAGTTTGGATCTTTTGCCCCCGCGCCCCAAACCACTCCGTTTTTCCCTGTCTTTTCACCTGTTTCCAGAATCTGGGATTCGCGGAGGGTAGATTCCCCCAAGAAGCAGTCCAGGAAAACTCCGACCTTGGCATCCGTGTGAAGAGACTTTCTTGATGAGATTCCCGTAAACCGCACAAACCAGTATGAAAGAACATCATCAAGTTAATTGTTGGTTCCAGCTAATTTCCCATGAAGTTCCTTCCCTAGCCTTGCTGGGCCCTTTGTCCAGTAGGTGCTTTAGATCTTCAGCAAACAGTCATGGCAGATCCCCCATGAGCTGTCATCCAGACGTTTGCCTTGCATTTTGCTGAACTACTGCACATGGACCCAGGTCACGATGTATTACGAAATCTGCACCCGAAAAAGCCATGGCCCACTTGAGGCAATTCTCATGCAAGGGATGTCTTTGACTAGGTCTCCCAGTAGTGCCCTTCTTAACCCTTTTTTGGTTGGGAGGGTTCCCCTACTAAAATAGACAAAGTTGGGCACCCTTATTCTAACCTCTTTACTGGAGGACCTAGTTGAAATGTCGGCGTCGCACGGCGCAAGAGCCAGCGCTTTGCTCCGGAGCTTTGAGCTTGAAGTGAGCCACTTGCTCAAAACCGATTCGGGTAGATGATCCCACCCCAAAATTAAAACCCATAAATAAAACCATACAAAACCACCCATAAACCAAGAATAAATAAACCCACCCATAAGTAATAAACCATGTTAGTAAGGGACAATCCCCTTGCCATAAATACAACCATAAAAACCATAAACCAGCCCTCAAAGATTGGGGGTTAGGGTTAAACCCCCTTGCCATAAATAGCTGCGGATTTCCGCCTTAGTTCTAGCATGGCTCTTGGATTACGACCATGTTAACGGGCTTTGAGCCAGTGACTCAACCGGCAAAGTAGGCCCAAGGCGTTGCACAAGTTGGCGATGTCCCAATTTTGTCTGCTTGGTTGGATCTTTAGACAACACACTTCATGGGAAGCGATGGTTGGTCCCACTCAACAGCAAACCACTTTTCAACAATCCATGCCTCAGGAGGACATGCAGAAGTTGGCTGCCATCGACGCCTCTCAGAAAGTTTGGATTGGCAACTTGTCGCCAGGCAGGGAGGTCGAGCTGGATTGGACAAGCATTTCACAGGGGACCATTATTTCACAAGCTCACCCAATATGGGCGTGTCTTGTTTGAGGCTACCCCATTTTTTTGGCTTTCAAGGGGAAAACAGCTGTGACCAAGCTCTGCCAATACTGTGGATGGACAACATCCATTTCGCACCACTTTGGAACCATAGTTGAATCCATTGTTTGTTGATGTTTGCAGGGGAATCATCATTCCAGGGTTTCTTAGGTGGTGCAGGATTGCGTCCATCTACAGTATGAGTGTGCCTTGTTTGAGGCTGCCCCATTTTTCTGGCTTTCAAGGGGAAACACAGGCGTGACCCTTGATTCGGACACACTCTGGTTCGTGGGTAGTTTGCCCGCCCCTCATTTGGCTTTGGTGTGAACATGGCTTCTTTGCTGACAAAGACACCCACCCTCCCCATGTCTTCGTTTGGTTTTTTGCGCTCGCAGATCCTTGCGACTCGCGGAGCCGAAAGCTTGGGGCTTTGGAGGGATGTTGACCCCAGCTTAATCAACCCCAGTCTATTAATGGGGGTTCCATTTTTCTGGGTGAAATGTGGGGAATCAGACCATTTTCGGAGGGTTCGGAACACCCCCCTATTCATAAACTAGGGTTGATTCATCTGGGGTCAACAAGTCCGGAACTTGGTTTGGGACAAAGTACGAATGTTGGATACGAGTTGCAATGTTTGGACTGTTTGGAGCTCCGAGCTTGGAGGAAAAGCCGCGTAAGGTGAAAATGAGGGGACCCCCAAAATGCTGAAAAGGGTATCCTCAAAAATTATTTGCCCACTTCTCTTGTGCGGCGGACTCAGCAGGCGTTGACTGGAAGACGCTGCAGCAAACTTTCAACCAGGCGGGCTCAAGGGCCAATGGGACGCTGCTGGGGGATAGACTTGTTTTGTCAAGTCGAGGTACGGGGGATGGTGAACATCAGTTGAAAATGCTGAGGGTGTTACTTGCTCCACATCCATAGGTGTTCCTTTCTGGTTGTTTTGGTAGAGAAATAGATGGCCCTGGTTTACCTGGTGGTTTAATCATCTACCAGGGCCATCTATTTCCCCTAAAAGGACGCCTATGTCCACATCTGGGAGCTTCACAATTTTGGATGGGCGAATCCCAGCAGTGATGGACGAAACGGGTCCAACCACTGAAGTCCAAGGCCAGGGTCCATTTGGTCCGTCATGAGCAAGCCCGAGATAAATCTGGTCGCCCGTATTTAGTCAGTTTGGGAATGAGAGGGCAGGGACCCCAGATTTCCCGCACACAACAGCAAACCCAATGTTTCCCATGTCCTCTTGGAAAACCATTCGTAAGGTTGCCCCAGGGCGTATATGGAGCCCGCCAAATCCTAACATGTTGCTTCTGTGATCATAATTGAACTTGGCTTTCCAGTACCTCACACACACACACACACTAATTTGATCATTCCGCTACCGCTATGGTGCCCTTTTTGGGTCGGTTTGAAGGGAAGCCAATTGAGAACCGCCCCATTCGAGGACTATGTTCCATCTTCCAACAATTCCACTTGTCCAAGGATGGAAACTACTCGACGCGTACCTAAACTGGCCCCAGCCATTTTTCGTTCTTGTGTTTTTTGGGGGTAGTCAGAAACTCAGACACTGGGGCTGGTTCCCAGTAAAACCTGCCGCTTGAGGGGGGCAAATAAGGGTGTGCCTTTTTTGGCATCTGGACCCCATGGATTTCTTTTGTTCCCTTTGGTTTTCCGCGTGCCAAACAAAGGGGGGGAGTCCCGGATTTTCGGCTCCAAAGCTTTTTCTAGATCGAAAGGAACGGCCCGGGCGATTTTTCTGCAGGTGGGCCGCACCATCTACGCCGCCTGCTTCCCCAAGAGCGGCACTGGGTGCGTGGCCTACCGCACCCCTGACGAGGTGGGAATCGGCGGGATTGGCGGGATGGGCGGGAAGGTGCTAGGCGCGTGTTTTTGAAGCTACTCTTTTTTTGTGGTTGGAAAGGAATTTGGCACTTGCAAAATTTGAAGTTAACTTGCTTTTTTTTTGTAAAATAATTTAACACCTGAAAAGGATTTTAACCACCCAACTCTTTTTGTCGTGGTTGAAAGGAGCACTAATTGAAGGACAACCATAATTTGGGGACCCCCTTTAAGAATGACACTCGCTTTCGAATAACTTGAGACTCCGGAGGAACTTGTTTCAGGCGTGGCTCCAAGTTTGTTTGGAGAGAATCAATGTAATATTGATTCATAGTTGATGGCCGTGGCTCAAAAAAAACGGTACCAAAATGGAACCCTGGTAGGTGGAAACATGGACCAAAACCTGCGTAACCCTAGCTCTTTAATTTTGAGCCACGCCCATATCAGTATGGTCCTCCCCTGTGGACGTCAAGTGAATTCATCAAAGGCTTTTTAGGCTTTTTGAACATTCGAAGGCTTAGACCATGATGAAGTTTAGGCGGGCTGTACGGTGTAGCCTTAATGATGTGGGCCTGTTCCTTTCATGATCCTGAATGTGTACATATATATATATATATATATACGGTCCAACGCCCTGACTGCCCCCCCCCCCCCCCAATCCCCCAATCCCCCCTAGGGTTGGTTTGGGGATTGGCTACGGTCAGCTTAGAGCTGGCTTGGGCAGTCTTAAGGTTTGATTTGGGATGCTCTTTGGAAACATCCTGCCCGCCCTTTGGAGTGGTTTTGGGGCTTGCCTGCGTTTGGCTTGGTCTTTGTTGGTTGGCTTACTCATAAAAGGGAGTTTAGAAGGAACTTCCGTGTACAGATGCTCTTTAAAAGCTACCTCTCTGACAGAAGCCAAGAGAAGAATAGGCACGCACGATGAAAAGAATGTGTGCGCGTGTGGCGGGGAATAGACATGTCCAAAAAGTGCAGCCCTCTGCAGGTGTTAGTTCCTTCGGATGCTTGAAAGTTAGCCTGATCGCGACGCCTGGTCAGAGCGCTCTCGGGTCAGGGGGTGGCGGGTGCCACAAGCGAAGTGAAAGCAAACAAGATTTGCTTGCGGTCGACCCGCCGAACAAATCCGCCGAGGGCTCACCTTTTGATAGGTGCGAAGGCTGAAAAAAGGCAAGCGCGGAAACACGAGTTGGTTGAGGTCGATCCCCCGAAAGTCCGCAGAGGGTTCAGCTTTCTGTGGAGGTTGCTTGAGGCCGGCGGCCCGAAAGTCTGCAGAAGGGTTGCGCGAGGGACCTGACACTCGTGAGCAAAACCCTTTTTTCTGGGGGGGCCAGGGGGTAGGAGGGCGGACGACGGGACCAAATATGCATGCACGATTTTGTATACATAGATGACGGGAAAAAGGGCATAGTTGGATCTATGTCGCAAATGTGTCCAAGCTACGTGCCGGGGTCAATGGCTTTATTCAGCGAACTAAAAGGAGTGTCCCTATTCTGGTCGCACCGCTGACATTCTTTTCTACGAGCACTGAATCACAATCGGGTACCCTCTGAGGCTTTGCAGAATAGTTTTTCCTAAAGGCACGTTCGGTTAGCTTCAATGGGTGGGAGGGTCCCCCTTTAAGCGTTGTTTTAGCATCACCATTTGGTCCGTTAAAGGTGAGTTTCCCTTGGTAGGGGTGATGTTGAAAGGCCAAAAAGAGGGTACCATGAGGATTGCTTCAAAAAGCACTTTGCTCTTCACGTTTTCTTTGTAGGCATTTCGCACAACCTTGAACTGATTCTAACAAACTTGCGGGCAGCAGGCTCAAACCAAAGGCAAAGCGAAAGCTTGAGGCATCCTTTTGTTGAAGACAAGCACGTTTTTTTTCAACAAGGAAACCACAGGCTTAAACGACGTGTGGAATAACTAAGATATTTGAACCACAAAAGGCACAAATCCAGTTGTTGTTCACTGGCTTTGAAGTTCTGGATACATGGAGCCTCGTGTAAACGCAAGGTCCATCATCCATCAAGCGCCTTTCCCTCTAAGCCCGCGAGAAAAGCGAAGATTGATCAGCTTTCTTATGTATCATGTTCAAAAGCCCTTATGTGGGCTGCGGTTGTGACTCCAAACATAGAAAGCGTGCAAGGGTAGTTTAAAGTGCCTACTACAGGGGCATCAAGCCCTTGATGCAGAATTTCGTGAACTATGGATTGCTACAAAGGCAAACATAACCATGTGTGTGAGAAGTGTTTGGTCACGCATGCCAATGGTTTTTGTTCTTCTCAGTTACTGCGTGGCTTTCTCACGCGAGATCCTGTTCAGAGGTTGTGCTGGCTCAGATAGCAAAGACATCAAACACCTTGTGTGCCTTGTCAGGGTGCGTTATCAGGATGTGGCTGTGGCTCAAAAAGATGTGCCAAAATGGCACCTTGGTAAATGGAACCAAAGACTAGAACCTGCGTAACCCTGGCTCTTTAATTTTGAGCCACACCCATGTGTCTTCAAACGCTTTCTTCTACCGGCTGCAACGCGTACGGCGGGCCCCCTAAACATACTGTGGATGGACGAATTGCTGCACCACCTAAGAAACCCCTGAAATGATGATTTTTCTGTAAATACCAATAAACAATGGTTTTCCGTGGTTTCGTAGGTGGTGCAGGATTTCATCCATCCACAGTATTTGCTGGGTATGGGTCCAGGGATGACCTGTCCAAAGATTCTTGTGAGAAGGGGCATTTTTTTTTTCGCATGGGAGGGAGATACCGCAGGTTTTCACAATGTGTCTTGTTTGCGGGTAATCTGCTCACTGAAACTAGTGGGTTTTCCTGTTTTGAGAGACACCCATACGTGTCTATCTCACAGATGGTCGGGGCCATCGGAACTACAAAGCCTCGCTCGGTTGGAAGTGCTTTCCGTTCTAAGGAATGTGAGCAGGCATTGCAATGAGGGAAGGTCTGGTGTGTAGACAAGCAGTGCTGTCGCTGGGTTGATGGGGGTTGCAAAAGGGTGGTAACGCTCTTAGGCGACTATCCAGTCAAGCAGACAGACAAGATTATTCTTTCGCTTTTGATTACTTCCTGCGAAGGTGCAGCATGCCGTAACTTCATTGAACGGCTCCTGGCTGGGGGACACCCAGATCCAGGTTGACTTCTTCACTAAGCCTGAAGGCCGAGGGCTGGTGGTTTGATATCTTTAAAATGGTTCCCGAGCTTGCTTGTTCCCGTATTGAAAGTCTTGCTTGAGTCAGTGAACAACAAACTTGCTGGGACCCAATGTTTCGCTTCATGCCAATGTTGCCTGTCACTTTAGGGGGCAAACGTGAGCCATGTTTTGGTATAAGGTCACAAGTAGGCTTCTTGTTCTTGCGCCGATGTTGATTGCTCCAATCAACGGCGTTGTGTAAGTTGCCCATACAGGGCAGGCAAGAAGACTTGCTTCACTTAAATCTCGAGAGTTTGGCGGTTGTGAACTGCATGGACTTTGAACGAGGTTTATGGTTGTGTTTATTGTTGGGAACCCAGCAAACCACAAGGACACCACCCATTTTCGGGGGCCCCTTTTTGAGGTCTTGCACTGTCAAGACGGCTTATCCCCAGGATTTCCCTTTGCACCCTACCAAGGAGTAGATCAAGTGGTATGCCGTCAGCCCCGTATGCGCCACCATCAACACCTGGGTAGACTAAGGATAGTAAGGGACAATCCCAGCCATCAATGGGTGCGGCCACCTTTTTTTTAAATTCCGTGCATTCTTCTGGGTCGGCCATTTTAATACCAGGCTTTGATTATGACTCATGTATCCCCCACTACGATGAACTTCAATTGGTCTCTTTGCGTGCGAGTCGACTCATTGAAGTTCAACAAAATGATTCCTTGCTGCCCAGGTGGGTTGATCCCATGTCCACTCCTTTGGTTTTCCACTGTACCATGAATAGATATGTGTCTAATCCCAACAGGCAATATTTTTCAATACTCACTTTCTGACGAGGATAAGTTGAACCTAAGCAAACGTGGAAAACTTCCCAAGTGGTGGTTCAGAGGAAACCAAAGTGAACCAACCACATATGTAGGTCAGCTATTACAATAACATCTCATTGGGCACGTAGAGAGTTGATTCTCTGAGTAACTGACACTGGTATTAGTCTGTAGCTTTGGGACCCAAGTTGCCCAAATAAATGCGAGGGGACCCCCCCCCCTCCCCGGACTCACGCATTTGTCGGGGAGGGTAACTTTTAGATCCGGGGCTCGCGGGCTTGGTCCATTACTGTCTCATAGGTTTTGGGCTAGACCAAAGAAGCAGAATCTGAGCACACTGTGGATGGGCGACATCCATCAATCGCGCCGTTCATGATTCCCCAACGGTTTCTGCTCTGATTCCCCAACGCAAAAAAAAGAAGAGCAACAACACATCCGTAACAACCGTTACGGCTTCATTCCCATAGTTTCATTTCGTGGCGCGAACGGATTTCGCATCCATCCGCAGTATGTGTTCTTGACCCCAGGCTGGGACAAACCGCTAGCCCCTGGCAACAGTCAACATACAGAGCACAGCCTTTGGAGATCTTTCGTGCATCCCCAGGGCCTAACAATCGTGCAGGATACATATACATAAACATAGTACATATATGATATATGTATATATCTATACATATGTATATATATATACATATATACATATCTATACATATATGTATATACATACATATATATATATGTATATACATATACACATGTATACACACGCTTGCAAGTCACAAACAAATAGAGCACACCACCACAGAGCTGCTGAGAACCTTCAGGAATGACCATAGGTGACACAATTGGTACCATTTTCGTGCCCTGACGGGCACTTAGCAACCATCATGTACACATCGAACAGCAATTGTATTTATCGCATTGACATGTCATTTGGGTTCTGGGCAAGCAAATGCGTCGCTTTGAGGCTCTTGGCATCTTCTCACAAAACAAGAGTTCAGAGAGTCCAGGCTGCAAAAGGTTAGTTGAGATACTTAGTCGCCAGATTGGCCCACTGTCAATGAGTACCTGCCAAGATTCTGCCGATTCAATTCGCCCACGCATCCTCACAAATTGCGAAGCCTCAGGCCGAAGCAGCGCCAAGGGCAAGGGCAAGGGCAAGGGCAAGTCATCGTGGACGCCAGTGTGGAAGCCGATGTTTGAGAGCCTTCGGCTGGATAGGAGTTTTTTTTGTTGCAGTCTCTTGCCTGGATGCCTAGGTTTCGCAAGGTTTTGGACTGGTTCTGAGATTTCAGCGAAGCAGGTTGGCGCTTTTTGGTTCGCTACTCAAGTTTCAGGAGACTTGTAGTGAGCAAGGCATGTGATGGGTTGTCAAACATAGGGCCGTCATTCCGGCTTTGAGGGGGGCTTCCCCAGGATGACCCGTTTTTTAACCCCTATGCGTTGCAGGATTGGGGGACTTAGTTGACCAGACGACGAAATTCTGGTTTGCTCGGAACAAGCATGTTGCTTTGCCTTGCTTTGCAGCACCAAAACGCGGAGGCGTGCCGTGTCAGTTTTTGGGGCCACGGGGAACTTGCAAGCCCTCTGCGGAAGAAGCCATCAAGTGGTCGCCATGCGTGAGCTCTTGCTTTGCTTGTCCTGGAGCGATGATGGTGATGATGGCGATGATGATGATGATGATGATGATGATGGTGGTGGTGGTGATGATGATGATGACGACTGTGTTAGAGTGTTTGCATGGCTTTAGCAATTCCAACGCGGATGTGTTGAGGTACAAGTCCAGCTGGACAAGTTGCAGGGGGCATTGGAGACCTCTTTTGGCAAGTTTGCACAGGTCGCCTCCCATGAAAAGAGAGAGCGTGGACGATGAGGTGCCAAGGTGGGTTTGCCACACAGTCAAAAGTGGCTCACAAGGATGCCAACAGGGTGCAGCTACTGAGTGGCCCGCCTGCGTTTTTCTTAGGAAAGTAATGCTGAAGGGCTTCAAGGGCATGAGCAAGGGCAAGGGCAAGGGCAAGAGCGGAGATATCGCCAAGCTCAAGTCCATCGACAAGTCCCTGAAGGCTCCGGCTCGTGGGAATGCTGCGAACGGATTTGTGTTAGTTACCCTCTTGCTTGGTGCCCAAATGGACGCCCAAGCCAAAGGAACTATTCATTTTGCTCCCTACACATGGGAACCTCCCGGTGCGGTCACATGTCAAGCTCCAAGTGGTCAGGACCCGGGTTGGATGTGGCATTTTTGAGGATACGCTTTTTTGGGGTTGTTAAGAGAAGCAAAAGGAAGAGCCGCGCGGCGCGTGTTGCCAGGTCTGGGTGGGGGGGCTGGACGGCACAGTGACCTGGAAGCAGCTCCAGGAAGCGGGGAGTGACATGAGGGGCACCAAGCCACACGATGGCACACGACTAAACCACAACAGGAGGTGTGTATTGTGCGTGTTTGGAATCGGAGCAGTTACACTGATTAATTCAGAGATACTGAAATAAAGTAATTTGCGACCCTTCGGGACCAAGCATCGATCTGTGCTGAGCGTCCCTCGCTTGGTTTGGGGCGTGAATACCATGCGCAGCAAATTCCGATGAGCCCCCCAAAGAGTGGTGCCTCCGAGGAGATGTCTCTCTCGGCTTTCGCTTTTCGGCACATGAGGGACTGAACAATTGCTGGCAGTCTATTGGTACCTTGGGGAGGGCCCAAATGTCCCGCAAAACCAGGAACCCACCCAATTCCCATGCACTCTTGGGGAGACAAGCAATTTGGTCGGGAGATGTTTTCAGGATGGTTGCATGTGGACTCCCTGGACGGGTGTGCCAAGCGTGCTCCAGCCGCAAACCATGGTAAGCCGCTTGCTTGCGACATTTGGGGAGCCGACCACTATATCCCGCCATGCAAGCCACTAGGCCGAAAATTTCTTCCAGACCTCTTAGGCGTGGCCTCGGGCAAGCACCTTTCCCTCACATTTCATGTTTTTTGTTGGGACACATTTTACATTTTGGCTCATTGTGGTTTAGTGGTTGAACCCCCCCACTTAACTGCTAAAAAAAATTAAGTTTTTGCTCCCCAAACCCACGTCAACCAAGAAATTGTCCCTTGAAACAGCCAAAGCTGGCCCCACATCAGACCAAACCAGGTCCTCGGCTTGGGCCCGTGGCATGGGCCTCAACTCCCATCATTGTGAGCGGTCACTTGCTCAAAACCCATTGGGGTAGAAGGTTGCGGGAGAATCTCAACCATAAGTGATTGCCTTCGCCTTTTTTTGTTTCATTCTTTACAAGGTTCTGGGCTTGGACCATTGTACCGATCGATCCGTTTTGATTGTGACTCATGTCAGCCCCGGACGAAGTTTTAGGTGTTGCCCCGAAAAGGGGCATGACACAGGGGGTTGGCAGGCTGTTTTGGCGGGACATTTGGGTTGCCTCATCTCCTCCCAAGCCAACAGTGGACTGCGAGAAATATTGTCCTTTACTTATTTATGCAAGAATGAGCGATGCACCCAATCCCAGTTGAAAGCGTACCCCGCTTGCAGCACGTGACCAAGGCCTTCCATCTATTGCTCTGCCGCAAACTTTCTCCTGTCCACGTTGCCACCCCGATGGTTTCCGCCATGTCGCGTTTCGCTTTTTTCATAAAGCAACCGCGACTTCCACCACCACCCGAAGGGATCATCCTCCCTCGCCATGGAGGTTTGGGTTTTCGGGCGCCGGCGCGGCAGGAGCTCTTCCAGCAGGTGGGCCAGGTGACTTGGGCCGCCGCCTTCAAGGCGCTGAGCGAGCGCCACACCCACCTGGTGGGTGGGTGGGTTGTCGCGATCTTAAAATGGGCCAAGTGGCTGGTGGGGGAAGCCGCGCAAGAAAAAGAGAGGAAGAAGCCCGAAGACGAATTCACCGCTTCTCCGGTTTCGAGCCCTTTCGGGGTACAAGCAAATTGCCTTTTCCAAAGGGAAGGGTTGACCAGTGCACTTGGCCTTGGCGCTAGCGTTGCAACAGCTTGCCGGTTCTCAGGGAAACAACCTGAAGGAATGAACCCATCGGCCAAGGAAGGGTGCAGTTTGTGGACCTGTCAACTGGTTTCTTTGGTCTCTGACCCCTCGTTTGGTGTTGGGTAAACCCAACGGAAACCAACGCATGACACCAGTTTTCAGGACCCTCAAGCCTCTTTCAAACCAAAGCCAAAAGTGGGGCCTGGTATTCAACAGGAAGCCACTCATTTTTTTTACTCACTTGCCTAGACCCAAAACCCTTTTCACCTTTTGGTTGCCCCATTTGAAAGTCCATTTTTTTCTGAAAAGAATACAGGCCCCAACAGATTAACCTTTTATTTCCAGGTCCTTTGGGCTGGGTTTTGCTGCTTTTCTGACGCTCGCTTGGCAACGTTGAGAGAGAGAGGTCCTCTGGCCAAGTGATTGTGATTCACATATTCTTCGATCCTACCTTATTAGTGGGGTGTTAAACTGTTACCCAGCAAAAGGTGGTCTGATTCCCCTCCCAGAAAAAATGCACACCCCGACTCAAGTGGCTCCCACGTGAGGAGGGGAGCTGGGTCGCTTCCCTTTGATCGCGTCCAGGACACCGGCTGCGTGGCCTTCGCCTCCCCAGAGGAGGCGGCCTCGGCGCTGGCGCTGGACGGGACGCAAATCGGCCCCGCGGCGTTTGAAGCCGCGGAGGTCAGGGGAGCTTGGTGTTTTTCGGAAGCCCTAGGGCTCTCAACCACCCACCTCTAGGGATTCCATAAAGGCTTCCATTTGCTGAAATGAATATTTTTAATGTTCCCTTATAGGGAATCTATCACTACTGGAATTATTGTTCCTTGTTTTTTTCCAAGGGACTTAAGCACATGGAGGTTTTGCGGAGGTCGGGCGGGTTTTGAGGTGACTTGCTCGTTCCCAGCGATTTGTTTCGGGTCCTTTGGTTGTTTTTCGTTGTTTTTACTTGGTTTGGTGGCAGTTTCCGTTTTTCAGCCAAACAGAGCACCACTGGGTCTCCCTATTGGGACGATGGATTTCGTGACAGGGTTGTGGTTGATCACTTGATTAGTTTGGGAATCTCCCCCAAAAAAAAGGGGGGTTCAGTCTTTTTCGGAAGCCCTTTCTGTTGTATCACAGAAGTGGATTCCATTTCCCACAGCCCTGGTTTCAGGTGACTCGGTTGTTCCCCGCGAATCGTCCGGGTCGTTTAGAGTTGTTTTTCGTTGCTTTTAGTTGGTTTGGTGGTTGTTTCCATGTAAAACGCAAAAAGTTAAAGAGTTTTAGCAGGGGATCTGAGGACGGTGTTAGGTGAGGATGGGTTGTTGAAGGGGAAGGGTACTTGGATGTTCGATTCGCCAAGTTAGCAACAGGTTAGCCAACCCACTAGCTTGGCTGAACACCCAAGTACTCTGGGCTGCACACCATAACGAGGGCCACTTTCCGCTAACCCCCTCTGAAGTCAGAACGAGTCACGTCATGGGCACATTGGGGTTTCCCAACAGAAATCCTTGCGCCTAAGGGCTGATTTACCCTTGCCCAAAAAGGCGACCACAAACGTTTCAAGGGAGGGAGTTTCCGAACTCACTTCTCGAGTTTCTGGACTTTTACTGGAGCAGTCTAGACATTTTTTTGGCCCAATTCGCTCAAGTGAGGAAACCAGAAAAGCTGGGTTCAAGGCTGATCTCATGTTTTGGGGGCATCATCCTTCTTGAAATCACCCAGGCAAGCGAAGATGTCTAGAACTGACCTGTTGAACAGTGCATGGGGTCGATCAGACTTGGCAAAGCCACGTTGCAAGCACACACACTGTCGCCCTGTTTGAGAGGGCAGGCAGACCAAGAGGACATTTGGGTATGTGTCAAACTGTTTTGTTTTTTTGTTTTTCACAATTGGGCGAAAAGGACATTTGGGTATGTGTCAGCATGGTGGATTTTCACAGCGGCTTTCCTTTTGGTGTCCCTTCCAACCAACGTAAGAAATCCAGTTCAGCACGGCCTTCCCGAAGGCAAAGGAAGCGGTCTCTCGCTTCGCATGTGAACTGGGCGTCCATTCGGGGAGTTCCATACGTAATGCCTCCGTTTGAAGGGGCCACCAAGCCACCATTTCCAGTCCCCCTGCAAACATGCGAGGGGCTTGATCAGATGTCCGAGCAACGCAACCCGAACCGCCGGCTCTTGGCTGGCTGAAGGGAAGCCGCACGAGTTCCCTTTGAGGCTCCGTGACTTTTCTTGAAGAAAGGGCCACCGCTTTTTCGCCAAAAAAAAACCCGGTATTCCTGCCCATGTCCGGACCCAGGCCAGTGCTTGTTGCAAGTGGACGTCTTCGAGAAGCCGCAATAGGCCGGGGCACAAGCGAGCGGGGCAGATGACAGGATGCATAGGTGCCCTTTTGGGTTGTTTTGGTAGAAAAGTAGATGGCCCTGGTTTACCTGGTGGTTTAATCATCTACCAGGGCCATCTATTTGCCCTGAAAGGACACCTATGACAGGATGTGGCTCCTGTGATGGCTCACTTTGGCTCCAAGTTGCCTCGCAACTTTTCGATTGTTGCGGCCCTAGATTTCGTCTGAGACCTTAGTTGGGTTAGCCGGCAAGTCGACGTCGGTTGAGCGGCCAATCACAGCGCCAGCTTCAAAGTCGCGGCGAGGAGGCAGGCAAGTATATAATGAGCCTTGAAATCCATTGTACAAGCTCTTGCTAGCTGAGAACACAAAGAGGCTACACAAAGCAAGACCTCCACCATTCCCTTGTGGTTTGATCGACTTTGCAAGATTTCACCATGTTGTCGATTGTGCAGGGTTTCACCATGCTTTGTGGCTGGTCGATTTGCAGACTCGGCCTGTTTTGATTCGTGGGGTTGTTTTGATGTTGGAACCAAACTGTGACTGACGTTTCGGACGTGCGAAGGGAAATAGCCAACCCACAGCCGAGACCAGATATGGAAGCTGAGTATGAGTTGAGCATGGCTTAGCGATTCAGAGAAGAGAACCATCCGATGGCCATGTGGGCTATGGCAATCAGATCAAAGATCCAGACTTTGGCCCCTCACCAGCAGACAACCCGAAGCATGGTTGTTGTTGGGAACCATTTTACCGTTTTGCTTATTGTGGTTTAGTGGTTGAAATCCCCCACTCAACTGCTAAGATATCTAAATCTTTGCTCCCCTTCCAACGTCAACCGTGTAAGTCCGCCAGACACCCTTGAGAAAGTGCGGCTCTCTTGTTGCAGGCCGCAGGTGCGGCGAGTGCCGAGTGCGTGTCTGAGCTTGGGAGCTTCGGAGCGGCGTAGAGGGGTTGCTTTCGGTCGATTTGGTGGGCATGGGATCGGATGGCGCGGTCTCTTTTTAAGGGCACCCCGTTCTTTTTGCGGCTTTTGAGGGGAAGCCAAAAGGAAAACCACCATTCTGGGAGGACCCCTGCCAAAAAAAATGGACAAACCCATACGCAGCAGAATCAATCATCTGATCTTTTGCTCCAAAGTTGATTCAGCAAAGAATTTCATGCCCGAGGAGCTGACCATGTTGTGAGTAGTGTACTGTTGCCTGTTGGTTTGGGGAGGACGTGGGGGACGACGCAAGTCTCCATTCGTGCCTTTATTGGGAGTACACTCTGTCTAGGGCTTCAGCAATGGATCTTGAAGGGAATCAAGCGGAAAGCAAATCAGTTCTTGGCTGTTCCCAACAATCCACTTGGGCTCTCAGACTCTCAGAGTTTTGAGCTGTAGGCATAAACCACTGGCAGTCTAACTTTACCAAGAAAATCAACGACCACGACTGTTCCAGACGTGAAGTCAGATTCGGGACGCATGACGCCCTCCCACTTTCCGTAATCATGGCATGGCGGGCAAAGCCAGATCTGGGTGTGTTATGTTTGGAGTTGCTCTATGCGCTCTTAGGGGTTGGGGTCGGAGTTCGGAATGCGTCTTTTGGAAGCAGAGCGAAACCAACTTTCTGTTTTTGTGAGGAGAGGGGTTCCCTTGTAGGTGGATCACATACCCGCCCGCCTCACAGACTACCTGGACCAATGGGCGTCCAGCCGGTTTCACGGTGAATATCAGTGACCAGACAGCGCGGAAAATGTGAAGCCCCCATCCACTCGAGAACCTAACTAGAGTCAGATGAGCCACAACCAAAACCCGGGTAGATGAAGGTTGAAGGTTAGTAAGGGACAATCCCAGCCAGAAATGGCTGCGGCCGCCTTCTTAATTCATTACATGGTTCTGGGTAGACCATTTTAGTACCAGGTTTTGACTATGACTCAGATTGCGTTGCGACATTTGCATGCGACATGCGCATTGCAGTTCGAGATCTTTCTGGCCGGAAGCAGCCCTTTGGAGCGAGGTGTTGGCGTTTGATAAGGAAGAGTGGCCATGGGGATCTGTGCTGTTCAGAGCAAGTGGGTTGTGACGATGGTTTCAAGTGGGATGACCGGGTTGGCTGACTTTAAGCAGGTTGAACATCCAAGTGCAGTCAAGGGAATCACATCGGGTTCACTCACCAAATTGCTGCTAGGGACGTTTACCCACCTCAATCAATGTCATTGGGTGAATTACACCCACCTCTCTATTAATTAACCAAGGAGGTTCTTCATCAGCCGCGTTGCCATTGAACCAGGAAAAGGACCCCTTCCTAATCTGGCCCGACATGTCCTGTTACTCCAGCAGGTGTATTTGTAAAACCAGCTGAGGATAGTTCAAAAGGGAGACGCCTTGTTCTTGAGGCCCACGTGCGACGCTCTCAAGGGGGAATACGGGGGCAGAAAAGCCACACTCAAATCCCGGGTCGATTCCTTTGGTGACGGTCCCAGCCAGAGGTAGGTACGGATTTCGCCCGTTGGTTCTTCGGTGTGTGGGCCGACCGCTTTACTTGGTGCTTCCCAGCCATCCCCTCACCTTTTTGGCTTTTTCGCTTTTTATAGTTTTTCAGCAGACATTTCCATTTGACCCACCAAAAGTTGAACTTTTAGCCGGGGGATCTGCGGACAGCCCAGTTTAGTCTCAGGCTTTGGTGGTCGAAAACCCCGCCCTCTTGGAAGGTGCGCAAGCTGCGGACGCAGGACACGCCCTTCAAGCACTTGCTGGAGCCCGGGGCTCAACTTGTTTCAGCCAAGGTTCCATTCTTTATTTCGCTTACCAAACCGAATTTTCAACCAGGAGGTCTAGTCAGGTGGTTTTCAAAAGGAGGTGGTTGAGTCAATTGCTTGCTTACCAACTTTAATTTGCTTACCAAACTAGAACATAAGAGGTGGTGTTGTTGGCGTTTGGGCCATTCCTTACCAAACCGATGGGTTTTGTTAGAAGGAAAGTTGCTGCTGTTCAGGTCTGTGCCCTGGTCACACTTGAGGGTTGCTTCGACACTTGTTTGCCAGGGTCAAACCCCACGGTCTTGGCGCCCAACATGGGCCTTGGTAACTCGTTCTGGCTTCTTTGTGAAAAGGAATGAGGTGGATCAGAGCGAAGGGGTGTCTGATCAGACACTGGACATGTTTGGTTGAATTCCCCAAGTCGAAACACTTGAGGCAAGCCCAGCTGGATTTTTGTCTTCGAAGATCCGGGGGATTTGGTCAAAAAGGCGCCGATCCGAAGCCGTTCCCGCCCCTCTCCAAAGCCTGAGATGCCGCACGAGCCGGGACGACGGCCCTTTTGGTTGACCCATTGAATCGGTTCAAATGGATTCCTTGCGGATGCAAAATGTTCCTTTGGTGCAAGCGATGAAAACCTGTTACTTCAAACATCTATTAGGGTGCGCTGATTTGGGTCGGTGAAGTATGAAAAATGGAAGCCGACAGAAGCGCCCCATGGGCCGCCACTATATCCTATTGAGTCCTTAAGAAGGCCATATGTGCATCTAGTCCTCAGCTATCCCAAACTTATCCAGTGATCGGCCCGCCCCAAATCCTTGGCTGTCCTGAGCACACTGGAGGGTTTGGGGAGACTGCATGTGATATAGTGTTGGCTGTTAAATCGAAATGCTGGAAGGACGAATTCCTAAAAACAATTTCCAATGCTTGGGCTGTCTACTATCTAACCTTCAAAGAAGCGGCTGCGCAGGCAGGGTTTACCTGTGGACTTGCAATTGAACCTCTGATTCTCGTAGAGGCGAAAGGCGAACAGTCCCCTACAAGACTAGAATCCTCTTGAAACCGCCCTCCACTTTGGTTCCACGTGTTTTCCTTGAAGGTGACAGGCAGGAAAGGGCGTAGCAGTAACCCTGAAGGGTGTTGTTTGGGTGTGTCCTCTGCGAGTATTTTGTGGATTATGGTTTAAGACACCGAAACCCTAGATGGGGAAAACCAACCCAATTCGGTCTCGGGAACCCTAGATGGGACGTAGGAGGAGCAGCACAAAAGTGGGAGGTTACCCAACCACCTCCATTAAAAGAATGGCAAGGACGCAATTTAGATGATGATAAATTCTTATGTAAACAATGGCCCAACCCTAGTCCCCCTAGGGTTCAACCCGCATCAAAGGAATGGTTGACCCAATTTAGATGACAAATCCTTCGGTAACCAACGGTTCAATGGTGGTCATATCAACCCCTTTGTTTTAATGGTGGCCACTGAAATGCAGGGGTCCCATTTGTGGGATCCAAATTTCTCCTGGGTTTGCTTGGGGCTGGTCGGTCTCAGGTACATGCTCAAGTACGAGGGGGTGGTGCAGTTACACGCGGAGGCCTGTCTTGGAAGACCGGATTCCAGAAGGCTCCGAAATGATTGTAGGGAACCCTAAGGAACCCTACGAAAGGGAACTGCAGGGAATTTTAGGGAACTTTAGGGAACCCTGAGAAGAAAGGGCTCACCCCCCACCCCCCCTTTGTACCTATAATCTCTTCCACGGTTTGGCCCAGCTTTCTGTGATCAGCTTTCTGTCTCCCCGATGTTTTTTTCTTTCTTTTTTTTAGTTGACCCGCCCGGAGCTTTGGGCTGTTTGATTGGAAGCAACTAGTAAATTGTCATGCTGCAGCTTTTGATTGGTGGCGCATGGAGATTTGGGGTGGAAACGCAAACAAGTGTGGGCGTTTGGCAACTTTGCGTTAGGAAGTCAATTAGGGCGTGCCAGACTGAGACGGGCACGGCTCGGAAAATTTCGAATCCCGGAAATGGTCGTGTGGGACATTCTTTGTGAAGCAAATTTCAGACTCCTTTCTTGGATCAAACTTCAATGAGTTTCCCTTTGGGGTGCTATGTGAAAGTGGGGCATACGGAAACCCTCTGTGGTCCTCAACTTACCATCAGATTTTCCCATAGCCTCGAATCGTCGCCATTTGGATTTCGGGCGCCCTCTGCATTCGTGTGCTTTTTGAAAGGAGTCCGGCCGTTGAGCGGCCAACTTGGGTTTCAAACAACCAGGCTCTGGACGCACTGCAAAGGGTAGGCCGTCGCAACTTGGCAAAGGACTGAGAACGCCCTGGAGACCCGGTTTGCTTGAAAGTTGGACAGGCCGGATATCTAGGAAGACATAGGCCAGGTGTAGCGGATGACCAAAGCAGCATTCACGAAGTAGAGGGGGTTGACCTACAACGGAACATTTGGGTGGCTCGTCTTTCTTTGAGTTGCTAATTACTCCTTTGGTGATGTTTGTTAAGAAGCAAACCAAAGGGACAACCAAACCATTTTTTGCGGGTCCAACCTAAGTTACTAAGGATTTGGGGTTTGGATTTGGTGAGTTCAACCCCTCCCGGCATCAGAAGATGTGCCGAACTGGTTCCGAAAAATGGTGGCCGGGCCGAGGGACAGAAGCCCAACGAGCCTCCGAAGCAGCCTGTGGCCGAGACGGGAGCTGATTTTGGCTTCCTTCATTTTTCTGAAATGATTTGCTGCTGTTAATTTCCCCCTGTTGACTTTACGGGAAATCTCGCCTGGAAGTATGTCTTCTTTCTCCAGGGGACTTGAAGCAAATGGAGAAGGATCCTGGATTGGCAGGGGATGCTTCGCGTTGGGGAGTTTTTTTTTAGGAGTTTCACCAGAAATCAATCAACCATTCGAGCCGAAAGTCAATGTTGGGATTATGCTGCCATGGCAGACTGCAGGTCCTGTACTCATACCATGTGCCCAAAGCCATGCTTATATATCCGACCCGGAGGTCTGAAGGCTGAGGGGGCTCCCCACAAAACGGTTTGGCGTTTTGGGGCGAAATGGAAATTGGCTCAAAATTGAAGAGCTGGGGTTACGCAGGTTTTGTTTTTGGTTCCATTTGCCAAGGCGCCATTTTGGTGCAGATATTTGAGCCACAGCCAAATGGAAATTGCGGCCTGGCTGTGACTGAGTGGCCGGAATCAGTATGGGAAGCTTGAGCTAGGCCAGCTACACGCTTCTGAACATCTCTGGTACAGTCGATCGAGACCACGTTGGCTGTCCACTTACTCGCATCATCGCAATCATGAGAAAAGGGCGGATTATTGTTGCCTGATGCATTTGGGTGTGGGTCAATCATGGGTACCCAACATGGCGCCATGGAACCAACAACTCTAGCCTGCGGTCCATATCCTGGTTCATTTTTGATTTGCAAAATGAATAAACCACATAACAAAGAAACATAACAACATCTCCTGAGAGGTGTCTCATTTTCAGATTTGGGCCTCCGGGGTTGGGGGCCGACGCGCGCTCGTAGCGACGTACGTCGCTACGTCGCTACGTCGCTACGTCGCTACGTCGGACGCGGAGCGAGCGACGGACCGATGGACCGCGGCTGAGGCTGCTGGTCTTGGAAAACCCCGGGGCCGCGGCCTGAGACGTCGAGAGACACGGCGCGCCAGGCGCCAGGCGGGGTTGAGCCTCGTGAGAGCCTCATTTGGTGTGCTTCTTTTTTGAGGTCCTTTGTTTGGGGGGTTGGTCGAAAAGAAAGCCAAAAGAGAAAAAGCGCGCAATTTGTTTGGGCCTAAGAAAGACACCCATTTGTGTGTGTGTGATTCCCAATAGGTGACTTCTAGAACATGCTTATTGCATCGACATATTGCATCGACAAACAAAGGGGTCCCCGATACTCCCCATTGGTTTGGCTTGACTAGTCGTCCGCAGAAGCAAGTCCTCACATCTTCGGAAACCTCCATTTTGGTGTTTGTCCAAGTAGGGGGACCAGAAGACTGGCGGCTTCTCTTTTGGCTCTGGAAAAGACTCAACACCCCACAAAACCAACACGGCAAGAAAACACGAAAAACAGAAAATAACACCGACCAGCAACCAAAACACCGACAAAAAAGAGCCAAACAACCAAGACGCATGCCACAACGCCACTTCAGCTCGCCGGCATTGGATCCCAAGGTCCGCGAGGTGTGCGGCAGCACCTTCCGACGGTGCCCCCCTCTCGCGGGTGCCTAGGGTCCTTGGAGTTGGTGACGTGAGGGTCACTGCTCAGTGCCCCCACCCCCACCCCCCCCGAAAATTTTCCTCCAAAAAGGGGGGAGTGGTGCACCCACCAAATGTAACGGGCACTTCGCTTTGTTTCTTTTTTTCCCACTCAGATTGTGTGGATCCCACCCAAATCACGGGAGCTCGCTTGCCATCCAGGGGCAATGAAGCCGTCACGGGGCTGGGTTCTACCAAACCTGGTTTGGGTTAACATGGGTGGTTTCCTCTTGGCTTCCCTTCGAAAAAACAAAATGGGGGGGCGGGGTTGCAATTGTTTCTTTGTTGCAGGGTTTTTGCGCATGATGCACATCACAATCTTGAAGCTGGCCTTTGATGCGTGGTGGATGGGTTTGGAGGTGAAGTGCTTGAGCAACTTCTCGCCAATCCTACCAAGTTTCCAAGACTGGGGGGGGGGGAACCTGGAAAGACTTCCTTCAAAGGGCTCCGAACGGTTTCATGACTTTCCCAGAGTAGGTAAGCGTGACCAAGGAAACCACCTCCCCGCAAGCTAAACACGGACAATGACTGCTTACCTCCAAAGCGTAGGGATTCGGAGACATATTTTTGCAATGGGTTCAAGGAGCCATTTAATGGCGACCACTGAAGACACTCCTTGGATTGTCCTGGTCATGGACCTCGAAGTCGGGTCCTTGCGAGGGCCCATTGTCCAAATATGAAGCCTCAGGGGCTTGTCCTTGGCTTAGGCGCTTGGGCTTAAATCGCACTCTTCGGAGGTCCGGACGCATCGCAGCATCGAATTGGCTCATGCACAATTTGGCATCGCAGCATCGAATAGATGTGCCGTTTGAGCAAACGGTCATGGGTTAGGGATGGTCATGAGCCCGGGATCTTAGACCTCTGCAACAGTTCCTGAGGACACCCCACGGAGTTTGGGCCATGGAGTACATGTCCACACGCTAAATCAGCCGGCGTCTGGCGTCTGCGTGGGTGAAGCACCAAATAAATCTCATGGGCGCATGTTTGCGATCAAAACCTGTTTGTACAACATCCATTTTGTTCAGCAGATGTGGAAGATAGCCCCTACTCCAAATACCCTGTGTTTTAAGGGTATGATGTCAACCACTGACTAATTCAGGAGGTATGTACTCCGGAAAACGCGTTTCTTCCAAGTATCCCCTGAAAAGCAGGGGCATTTGGAGGGGCAAGCTTGGCAAAGAAGCCACAGAACTGTCGCAATGATGGGCCTCATGAGCATGCAGGCTTGAGCCGTCCGGGAATTGCTTCAAAAGCCTTGAGATGGAATTGAACGGCCCAGTCCATCAGATTCAGCTTCCCCTTGCATTCATTTTTTGTTCGGCGTAGTTTTCTTTTTTTTGCAGAGAATGGTCGCCCCTCCACCCTTTTTCTCGGTTACGTTCATGCCTCTTTTTTGTCCTTTTTTTTTTGGGGGGGGGGTTGTGTTTTTCTTGTTTTTGCAGAGAATGGCCGCCCCTCCACGCTTTTTCTCGGTTTGTTTGTTTTTTGGCTGAGAATGGTCGGCCTCTAAAAGGCGTTCCGATGTTCTTTCTTCCACCAGAAGTTGCTATTCCTTTGGCTTCTACTTTGTCTAGGTCCCCCAGTGCCCTTGGGTTCCCCTACTAAAATAGACTACAGAGAAAAAATCGGGTACCCTTATTGTAACCTCTCTGGAGGACCTAGTTGCTTCAACTTCGAAAGCTTAACCATCGAATGATACATCCAGACTCCGAAGATTGATTGGCTCACTTGGCCCGTGTTGGCCCGGGTGCCTTGGCGATTCAAAAGGGTATTCTTGTTCGCATGCGACGCATGAGTGTGTTGCCGCTGATTTGACATGCCACAAAAATTCGTGTGTGTGAAAGTGTGTGATTTTTTGCTTGGCCTGCATTCACTATATGTCACAAGGCTTGTGGTGTTTCACGCTGGTTGGCAGAGTGTAGTCTTGACCTGCAAATGACCACATCACACAGGGAATGTCGTTTCCAAGCCAAGTTTTCTCTTCAGAGGATTAAAACAAGGGCCCTCACTTTGAGAAGAATCGCTTCGGGCTCCATGTGAGTTTGCGAGTGAGACTGGCTCGGAGTGTTTGGGGTCATTATTTTGACCGTTTCTGGGTCGGTTATCAAAGTCATAAAATGGGGTTGTTTCCCTTTAACCCATCACTTGGGGGGTGACTTTGATCATGGTAAAATAATGAGGCCAGTTATTCTCATGACTTTTCGCAAGTCCTGCAACTGGGAGCTTCTGAAACCAGGCGCCCAGTTTCGGTATGGGTCAAAGTCACCAGGAATTGGACCGCAGGTTTTAGGCCTTCCATTTACCACGGCAACCCATTTCTGGTAGCTATGTTTGACCCACTGCCATTTTCTGCACAGATCCTATTTGGAGAGACGGCCAGGATGCCGATCCCTTCACGGACGACGAGGTGCGTAAGCGAGTCGGCTGGCTCTCGTCTTCCCAGCGCTTCTTCAACCAAGGATCGCCTGAGTCACAATCAAAACCTGGGTAGATGAAGGTTAGTAAGGAACAGTCCCAGCCACAAATAGTTGCGGCCGCCTTCTTAATTCTTTACATGGTTCTGGGTCGACCATTTTAATACCAGGTTTTGATTGTCACTCACCTTACTTTGGGGCATCACCCCTCCAAAGTTGTGCATCCAAGCGTCATCTTACCCGGGCATTGGGGCATCACCTTTATCCCAAAGTTGTAGCTGGGAATGGGGGCTCCGGGGCACCGGGGGGGGAAATTTCAATTTCGCCCTCCCCCAAAGTTGGGCTCTTGCATCTGGAAGGACTTTCCAACGACCAGTCGCGCTCTGACTTTTGGTCGAAGGCAATGGCCTTGCCACAACGAAAGGGCCTCAGTGGTCCGAAAAGAAGCTCCCTTGGAGTGCAAGCCTCCTTCGTGTGCTTCCAGGCTCATGTGGGTCATACTGGAGAAATCATGGTTCCATGGTTGCGGGACGTTTTACGGTCACTTTCTGTGATTGCAAGAGAACCCCCTTTACAGTGATCAAGTAGGCATGGGGATGGGCATCCCGCTTTTGCAACACAGAAATGCCACCATTTTGAGCAGATATCCAAGTTTGGAAGGGCTCAAAAGCAATAGATGGGATCGACCAAATATGCGAGGAACCGTTTTCTCCCAGATTCGCTTGACCCCCCTTGTCTTGCTTGCTTTTAGGCATGAGCAAATGATCAGTGCATAGCCAATTTTACCATTAATTGATGAGCAAATGACCATAAGGGTGTGTCTTAAAATAGGGGATCCCCCAAAATGGTTGCTTTCCCCTTGGTTTCCTTCTAAACCAACCCCATAAAGGGTACCACAAAAAACCGACAAACCCATGAGCCAGTTGTTCGATGGCCTGCGGTTTTCGCCTCTGAGGGCGACCTGCGAAGAGGGGCTACTCCCAAGGTGGGCTTGCAGACTTGTTGGAAGGGGGTGGTGTTGATTGAAATGGGTAGCGGGCAGAACCCGAAAGCAATCTTTTCCCTGTTGTCTTTTTTTTTGGGGGGTGGAGGCTGCTTCAGGTTCGAGAAGGTCATGAAACTGTCACCCTGACCAGAAGGGCAAATTTCAAAAATACTCAAGTTGATTTAGGCCACCGCCACAGACCAGGCATCACTTGTTGCCACGATGCTGTTGCGACGGGGGAGCGCATGCACCTTCTTCGGGCCCGTAGTCCTCGAGTTCTGTTGCGGTCCCCCCCCGCCGCTGGGCGGTTTCAACGCCAAAAGAGGGGGGCCCGGTGTTACACCCAACATAGGTGGAAGCATTTTACAGATCATTGGATCATTTTGTACACTACCAAGCGCATTGCGATGGGTGGTTCTGCTGTTGCTTGCAAGCATCCAGTCACGTGACAGCTCCATGCGCATACTTTTGATCCTTTGGAAGCCTTTGGGAGAAGCGATTTGCATTCGCACTCAAAGAAGCAATCTTGCGCTGCTTAGGCACTCGTGTCTTGCATTGCCAGCTTCGGCCATCTACTTGTATATGTGTATAGATGCTCCTCGTGTACATCTCCGGAGTGGTGGCAGAGCAAGTTTGGGGTGTGAAAACAAACAGATCAAGGATCCACTCAGGGCTTCAGAGTGTCAATTTCTCGAGGCGCGTCAACTTCCAACGTTTGATGGCCTGGCCGTGTTGGGCTCAGGACGAAGAATTGCTGTAATCCCCACACAAAAGCTATTAGGCGTGGCCGTAGACTTGAACGAAGCTGTCCATCAAAACCAAACAGGAAACCCTGAGCCCCGAAAAACTTGAGTGCCCAGCCCCATGATACCGGTTCAGTGAGAAGGCTGGACCTTCAGCCCTTCACCCCCAGAGTGAATTTCCTTCACCTGGTGGCGGGCGCTTCCGTTTCAACCCTCCCAGGATGCTCCCCCCAAAACCTTTGAAACATCGAACTTCCTTCACCTGGTGGCGGATGCTTCCCACAACGGTAGAAACGGGCCTCACTTCTCCCGTGATCTGTGATTAATCGTGATGTTCCTTCTCACCTGGTGGCCAGTTTTTGTGAGCAACGCTGTTTGCCAGAGCCGCAGATTCGCTCGCTACCTTGGCAGGTGCTGCCCACCAAAGGCCAGGGGAGTTCAAATGAGGGACGGGAGAGCATCTTGGAATTTTGGAGCTCAGACTCGAACCACTGAAAGAAACAGGGACGCGCAAGTACGCTGTTTAGGTTTGTAAAACCAATTGCCGCGTTTTATGATCAAAACCAACGCCACTTTGCCAGCCGCCGCTTTGTGGCATGGGTACCTGGCTCGTGCCACCGCGCCAAGCTGGTCCGGGAACTTGCTCGCGGCGGCCGGTCCGGGTTTGGACCCAGTGGATTTTTTCCATTGCGCCAGATTCTTGTCTCTAAATGGCCCCAGGTCCCTTTGGCTTCCCTTCCGCTCCCAAACAAGGTACCCCCACAAAAAGGAGCCCGCCCCCTACCCCCCCCGCAACCTGCGACTTCCAACCTGCAGTGCCGTGCGCAGGCCCCCCCAGCGACTCCGAGGAAGAGGCAGGGCTTGAGGCGGTCCTTGACAAAACTTGGCTTTAGGTACTGGTGTACGACCCATCAACAAGCATGGTTGACCCAAACTTAGCTAATTTCTCCTCTACCCTGGTTCTTTTTTTACCGGCTCAATCCTAACAATCCCTGCTTGGAAGTTCACACAAACCTGGGCACTTATTCTTTGTTTGTAAACTGTGGAACGCAGTGGAAACGATACTCTCCCACAGATTAATATGGGGCCTCAAACGCCGTTATCCTCAGGGTTTCTTTCCTCAGTTGCCCTTTTTTGATGGACCCCTTAGTCGCTTTCTTTTCATTGGACACATGTGGTGACCCCCGTTTCAAAGTGGAAGTAGAGCTTTGCTAGGAAACTGGTGGCAAACAAATTACTTGGTGAGTTGACCCGATCGGAACGGGGACCCGTTTCTGGGCTTGTGAATTTGAAGTGCTTGAAACGCTTCAAGCGGACCCATTCAAATCCAGCCAGGAGGTTGCCGGTTTAAGGGCCCGGGTCCCCTCGCGTTTTCTTCCAATCAATCGGCTTACAGGCGCCCAGAAGACAGCAGAAGGCGGGGTCCTGACAGGATGGACGTTCTAACGGGTGCATCCTACTGATGGTCCGGATGGGAGGTTGGGCATCTCACTTCCTAAAATCCTGGGCTTTAGTCACTTTTGGGGTTTGGACCAAGTTGGTAAACGCAAAGTTTGGAGTTTTTTTGCGCCTTTCCCGAGAAGTCGGGAAGTGAGAAGTAGATGAGGGGAACCCGGAGGCCGAGTTGGGATCAACTTCCCCGTCTGGACTGGTTTGCTTCCCCTGGCTTGTTCTGGCCATTCACCACTGCCGATTCTTTTTTCCCAAGGCACGGCAGATGGATGTGTCAGGAGTTGAACACATTGGGGGATGGTGTTTCAAGCACAAACAGTTAAACAAGGACCCCATTTTGGTGGCGGTGCCCGATATATTGTTTCAAAAGGCCGGGTTAGGCCTGATTTGGAGGGGGGTTCCTTTCAGGGGTGATATGGAAAATGCCGGGGGCACGGCATGACATTGGGGGCACCACGTTGGTGGACCTTGAAGGGACATCAACCCAAAGCGTTTAGAGGGCTCGCTGGTCTGGAGTCGTACACCACATCTCTGGGTATCATCGGCTCTTGAGGCGAGGAGTTCCCTCGTTTGACACTGTCCACGCGGTGACATTCAGACAGTATTCGAAGACAAGACGGCACTGTGAAACCATGGGAATCCATTGTTTGTTGATATTTACAGGGGAAACATCATTCCAGGGTTTCTTAGGTGGTGCAGGATTTCGTCCATCCACAGTATTGTCCAACCCCACTTTAGTAGGGTGTTAAACTGCTACCCTGCAAACGTGGTCTGCTTCCCCACTAAACTTAACCGGAAATGGACACCCCCCTATCAAGAAACTGGGGTTGATTCTGTTCTGGGGTCAACGGTCTCGCGTTTTGTGGGCCGCCGTCTGCCGTGAGCTTGGAGAGGATGGGAAGAAGGACAACCCGAAGCCAGAAAAAAAAGCAAAACCGGGGCCAACGTGAAACCGAAGAAGCTCCTGGGGGCCTTCAGGGCCTTCCTCGTACGGGTGTGGGTCAAACATGGGTACCCAAAATGGGTTGCCCTTGTAAATGGAAGCAAAGGCTAAAACCTACGGTTTTGCGGTGGTTTAATTTTGACCCATACCCATACCATGTTTTGCAGAGTATCAAAGAAAGACAATCCCTTCCAACCAAAAGCAAAAGAGTGTTCACTTTTTGAGAAACTCCCATTTGGGTTGTCAATGTGGCAGGTCATCTCCACACTCCCGACAAAGGAGTCCAAATGATACTTGGTACTTCGACCTGCCAAGACCACGAAGCATGGATATGTGTCTAGCCCTGCTAATTTAGATCCAAAGATCTGTGGAAAGCCCATCCCTAGTGTCCCCCAATCCACATCTCCATGTCGGGCTTAAGCCCATAAAGCCTTTCCTTTTTTCGCTCCTTCTTTGGTAGAGGGTTGGCATGCTACCCTTAAACACAACCGGGTATTTGGAGTAACCTACTCATGTTTTTGGGTACGTCCCACCTGAGCCGAGTATCTCTACCCGGTGAAGAAAGACTTCAGGCAGAGCTGTTCGAGCCCACGGAGGAAGCGGCGGAGGACTACGGCCTGCTGGGACGCCGAAGATATCGGCCAGGGAGGGTGGGTTGGTGATACCCGCAATGCTTCCATTTGCTTAAGAATATTTGTGGTTTTCCTTTTTGGTTTTGATGGGAATCTATCACTACTGGACATATGTATGTTTTGTCTTCAGGGGGCTTGAACAAATGGAAGAAAGGGTGTGTCCCCTTTTTTTGGGGATCCCCCCAAATGGCTTCGGTGTTCCTTTTGGTTTCCCTTCAAAGCAACCAAAAAAGGGGGGTCCCTCAGAGAAAGACACAACCCAAGAAGTCCGGCTTTGGATTAATCCGGACCCCAGTCAGGAACCCTAAGATAGGTTCCCTAAAGGGGAACCAGCCCTGATTACTACGATCCTCCAGATTAATCTGAAGTCAACATCACATGGCTGCAACGGTCGTTGATGTGACCCCAAGACCTTGTGGAAACCAATGGGTTTTTAGTTTAACCGAGAAACGTTTAGACCTTTGCTGAGCATAAAACCGCGTTGGATTGCGGGCAGGGGATTTGGGGGTAAATGCGATTTGCCACAAAAGCCCAAGTACATGGTGGGTACAAAAGTGTCCACACCATATTTATCCAAGGTAGACAAGGGTACCTACTGAGCAGGAATCGTGCTTCGGCAGGGCAAGCCCCTGCACCCTCCAACATGGAACCCAGAAGGCCCCAGCATTGTGAGAGCTGGAGGGTACTATGGCTTGCGGTTGTTTTGCAAGAGCAAGCTTTGGGCGACCTGATAGGGAAGAAACATCCTTAGCGCCACCCAACAACTCTAAGCAAGTTTGTATAACTTTTGGAAGCGCAAACTGGAGTGCCCATCCTGAATTCTGGTTAGCGGGAGAAACAGGTCACCGGGTGAAGTCCACTCGTGAAAACAATGCATGTATATAGCTCATTTGGGGAAGATGGTGGGAGATGCGGTTTGCGGGGCAAAGTTGGGGTGAGTGCTTTGTGCTTTGCATTTTGTTTTGGCTGTCGAAGAAGGGGTGCATAGTGAGAGTGATTGCATGTTCGCACCATGACTTGAAGAAATCTGCAGACATTTCTCCACGTGAATCAGGTACCGGTGATATGAAGTTACCGCAACTGCAATCGAGTCAACGAAGAAACACGCACCTTGAACCACACAGGCATTTGAAATGGCAATGGTTGGTTTGTCACAGTTCATGTATTCGTCAAGCCCCGCGCCAGTTGTCCTTGATCCGGTTTCACCTTAGCGGATTGAAGAATGCGTGAGGCAAAAGGGGGCCAACACACGGACAGACTTCACAGCCTCATGGATCAGTGATGTAACTTTGCGAGGGCAGAAAGAGGTTCCATCAGCCCGAGGCTTGCAGAGGGTTCACAGTTAAGCAGAGTGTGTAGCTGTTCCAATGACCCGGTTGCCGAGCCGCATGCCAAACACCTCAACGGGAAGTCCCGCCAGCAACTGTGACACTCCTCTTGAACATGGCGTGCGCACCTGTGTTGCCCGCATGGCAGAGGGTGCGTTGCTGTCGGTTCTTAAAGCTGTTGCCTATGATGGGCTCGTAACCTGCCGTTGAAGGTCCCAAAAGCTGTACTGCTGTTGGGTTGGATCTTTAGAGTTTAACTCTCTTGGATTCCCCTCATATTTCCTTTATAACCAGCAAACAGCTAAAAACTTTTTGCTGGGGGATCAGCACCCAAGTGGAGGTCTCAAACGGCCCCCCCTTCTTTGCGGGTGATCCGTTTGCCCAGTCGGACCGGTCAACGGATCTGATCCCGAGGCCCGAGGAGAGCAGCGCCGGCCTCAGTCGGATGGTCGGATCGGGTTTCTGGGCGCGCCCGCTGTCGGATCCATTCGCTGAAACAAGTATTTTGTATTTTTCCCCCTGTTGGTTTCAAGGGAATCGATTTCACTGCTGGAAATATGTTTTATTTCTTCTTTTCCAGGGGGCTCAAGCAAATGGCAGTAGTGAGTTTTGTTGGGGCCTTTTTCAAGCCCATTCCGGGCAACTGGGGAGTTGCCAGGGTTTTTGTTTGGTTTGAGAAAGCGCCCTCCTTTTTCGGAGGGAAACGGAACACCCAAAAACAAAGTGGTTCTCCTCTTCATATCTGCCTTTTGACCACAAAAACAGAGATTCCCCAAGAGAGTCGCAGGCCTACCAAGGGTTGGGACGCAATGATATGCAATGATCATGGATCAAACTTCAGCGAATTGCCAAGCATTCCGGCGGCGGTGTCGGAATTATTGCAACGGCTGGTTACCCAATGCTCCCAGTTGCCACCGCTCTAGGTTGCCAGGGAACTATCATGCACCTAGAGCCAAGCAATCTAGGGATGACGTCCTCATTCTTTCGAAGGATAGTTCTTTTTACACTACCAAACGCCCAGGAAAACGTCTTGATTTTGAGAAGGAGCGCCGGTTGAATAGAACGGAGAACCACCGCATGGAACTACACTATACGGATTCAAACCGTGGCCCATCTTCGGTTGATTCCGAGGCGGGAAATTCGAGGCGTGCGGGTGTGATTCGTGTTTTGCAGGTAGCCAGGCTCTGTCGTCTCTCTGTCGTTTCTTTGTCGTTTTTCTGCCGTCTGCGCCGTCTCTCTGCCGTCTCTCTGCAGTCTTTCTGCCCCGTCTCTCTGCCGTCTCTCTGCCCCGTCTCTCTGCCGTCTCTCTGCCGTCTCTCTGCCGTCTCTCTGCCGTCTCTCTGCCGTCTCTCTGCCGTCTCTCTGCCGTCTCTCTGCCGTCTCTCTGCCGTCTTCTTCGTGGGCACCCCTTTTTGGTTGGTAAAGGGAAACCAAGGGCAATTGCGCTATTTTGTGGGGGTCCAACCTAAAAAAATACGAGCCCTCCAGGTGTTTTTACCAACATCACAGAAGCACTGGTTCTCTAGCTGAAGTGCGGGCCTTCGAGGCTTCGGGGCTTCAGAAAACCAGTCCATACCGGAGGGTCGGTCGTTGGTTTTTGTCACTCGGTTGGTTGCAGCGCCCGCTTTTTTTTTGCGCGTGTTTTTTTTGGCGGAAGAGCATGGTGCTTCCAGAAGGCTCCCGATGCTTTTTGGGCAAATCCTCAAAATGGGTTGTTTTCAAGGGTTTGTGAGGGGTCCGGGTTCTTCATTGGAGGGCCCGGGGCCCTGCATTGGAGGGGTCATGAGCCTTAGGGCAGCTGATGGTTTCCCCTGGTTACCTGGTAGCTGGACCCATCGGGGTAGGCATTTTAAGACCCTTCTAGGCCCTTGTCAGGGCAGTGTTTTGCTGGCTGGGGGCTTGGTAAGGATGGATTTCTCGGCCAGTCTGACGCCAACCGTGCTGGTTTCTGTTTCTCAAGCTATTGGGATTCAGGTACCTTTAAAACGATGGTTGGGCTAATGTAAGCGTATTTGACTGCCATTGAGTTCCATCATCTAAATTTGCTCCCAAGGCCATTCTTTTAATGGCAACCGGGCGCAATTGAATAGACAAGCTGCTCGGGTTGATTCTCCATTTTTTTTTCACCCAGCGTTCTCTTTAGAGCCATTTTCACACAAAGAGGGCGCTGGAACCACCCCTGGCATACCCGTTCTGCCCAGTTTGGAATTCCAAATGGCTTTGTCTTCAAAGTTGTGTTTTGCCTTCTTGGCTTCCCCCCCCAAAAAAAGAACCAAAAGGGAAATGCCTAGAAGAATTCGTGTTGCTTTTTTCCTGTTTGGTTTTCACTAAAGCACCCACCAAAAGGGGGGGGCTCCCCAAAAACGACGACAACCCCGAAGACCAATTTGGAGGCTTCTTTTCTCTAGGGCAGCTGCCCTGTGCTGTGGTGCGGCTCCCAGCAGAACAAGGCGTGCGGCTTGCGGCGCCCGGTGCCGTGTCAGTGGGTTCGGTTCCGGGTGCAAGGATTCCACTTGCTGTATTTTCCATGAAAACCCAGGTTCTGCAAACACTACCCTTACAAAAGAGGGTATTTGGAGTAGGGGATTACAGTAAAGCCTAGATAAACCTTTATACCCATCTTGGTACCAAAAGGCAATGGGTTTTGGTCGCTCACTGTTTTCAGAGGATTACTCCTTCTGGCCAAGGCAAGCTCCTTTTTTGAGCAGACCACGCGGGAAATGTCAAGTGGAGCTCTTACTGCAAGGATGGGGGAACCCACCTGTAAAATGCAACGGTTCACGGAAACCAGTGACCCCTGCTTAAGATTCGACCAGACAAAATGGGGGCCCTTATTCTCTTTGCAGCTTGCGCTGGGCTAACCAAGTCGCTTGGATTCTGGAACATGGGTTGCGCTTTTTCGAATATGTTCCCAAGACAACCAAGACAAAAAGCACGACATGTGAGAAAACCCGTCTTGGGACACCTCCGTCGCAAAAGCCGCCAGTCTGTCATGCTGCCGCACGCCAAGTGGATCACGCTGGGCAAAGATGTCCACGGCCCAGCACGTTGGGCCACGGTTTGTCTTTTGGTCCACGTTGCCTGGCAATACCTAGTGGCTTGGCCACTTGGGTATGGGTCAAAATGAAACTGGACATGGACCCCAGGTTTTGCTGCCTGGTTCATTTACTAGGGCTCGATTTTGTGTGCCTATTTTTCACCAGCCATTTACACCGGGTTCTGTTAGTTGCTTCAACTTACTTAAAATCGGGCGTTCAGCAAACACGGGCAACACACCGTCACCTCTTGCCAAGGCCTGTAGCGTTCGTCTTCCCAGCCGGGGCGTCTCTGGCAAGCACTGCCAGCTGAGTGCCTGAGTCGCATCATTAGCCGATGGGGCAGTGAGGTGTGGATCCCAACCCAAGGTTCGATGAGAAGGGCTCCTTCGATCGGGTGCTCTCAGGATTCTACTCACAGTGAACCTGGGGATTCCCTTAAATGGAACCATAGGGGATGGTTCTTCTCGGGGTCCTTCCATTTCTCATTCCCTACCTATCGCACCAGCAAGTCTAGGAGTCCAGCACCTTTGCGGCTCGTTTTCCTCAGCTTCTGCCTGTCAACAGGGCTCCTGAAAAAGATACAAATTGTGCAACCATTTGAAACATGTTGCTTTTTCAACACCAAAGTAAAGTTGGACACCACCATGTACAAGTTGCAGTTCAGGTGGATCCATGCATCCGGATCCCTGTTCAAGGCGGACACGAGGTCAGAGTCGAATCCGCCGCTTCGGGGTCCCTGGCTTTTCCAGTGAGTGACGGGCTAGGCAGCCGTCAGGTGACCGCCGATGGGTCAAAATTCGTCGCCAGACCGCAGGTTTTGGTCCAGGTTTCCACTTGCCAGGGCAACCCATTTGGGGGTTACCCTATTCTTGACCTAGCCAAATGGGATCCCCGGATCTACGTAGAACCTATCCTAATAGGAAGGTGTCACCCACAAAGTTGAAATCCGGATTCCCACTTGGCATCCCCGATCCAAAAATATATCCACCAGGGGTTCCGCTGAATCCGCTACCAACACCCTCTAAATGGTGGTTTCAAAGGGAAGCAACTTGTTGAGAGGTGTGCAACTGCATGTCATAACCTGCGTTGCAGACTACTGAAACAGGAGCCAGCCGGGGGCAAGCTTCACATTCCCCACTGCCTGCTGATGTGCACCGTCTCTGATTTGGCTCATTGTTGCTACATCACTAGATGTGGCAAGAGGGTCCACTTGGGGTTGCAAATGTTCAACGGGAAGGGGCGGAAAGCGACTTGAGGGGTGGCTCGCCTCATCCAGTTTGCCAGCTATGCCTTTGCTTGCGACATCCGTGCCGAGGATGGCTCGGGGACAAGAGGCCGGCAGCTGAGATGCGATCCGAACCGTTTTTGACGAGGTCCCGCGAGGTCAGAGTTTTGACCACAATTTGGGGGTGTCGATTTCTTTTTGAGCCTCGGTATGTCTTTTCTGGTCGTAAAGCACAGGACAATCCGTTTGCGGGGGGGTGTCCGAATCTTTACTGGTTGTAAAGCAAGCCAACAGGAAAAAGCACCTGTCCTTTTTTTTTGGGGGGTCCGAGCCCCAAAAGCAGGACACACGACCTAACACATACACATTCAGTGCACCTTTCACCGAGTCCCGTGGTTGACTCCCCGCGCGATCCATGATCCGAATGGTGTGAGGCTCGTGGAATTCATGGACTCCAGCACGAACGGTACCTGGGTGAGCGGGGAGAAGGCGGGAGGAATCCAACCGGGTTCGCATCGTGGCGATGAATTTTGATAGGGAACCACATCAAAAGTGGTTGGTGGACATGACTCCCCACCGAGTTTTGATGTTCACTAAAGGGTCCCGAATTATAATTCATGGCCCTTGGGGGATTCTCAAAATGGCACAATGGCGCTGGCTTTCGGGGAACACAAGGGACACCAACCGGTTTAAGGGACCACTATTTGGAGAACCCAGATATGCGTGGTCAAGACAAACCCGTTTTCTTTTTTTGTGGGGATGGTCATGAACCTCTTAGTAGAGTAGAAAGGTTTCAGAAACCAATGTGCAGGTTTCTACTGAGGGAGCCAGACTATGCACATATGGCTAGCACGAATTTACCCATTGATAGATGCGGTCTGCGGAAGGCCATCTTGTTTCCAAACAGAAGGCCGCTGCGTTCGGCGATTGTTTTTACTTGACTGCTATTGGGCTGGATCTTTAAACTTTAACTTTTTGGGCAAGCAAGGGGTTTTCCACCAAACCCCCAGCAGTTAAACTTTTGGCAGAGGGGGTCAACAGCAACCAAGTAAACGTCACTTTGAACAAGTGAACCAATGTCTTCGATGTCGGCCTGGAAGAGTCATTTGCTGGCTCTCATGTTCGACTGGACAAGCCCAAACGATTGGTTTCATGAGGTTTTCCTTCAAAATCAGCCCCCCCCCCCCAAAAAAAAAAAAAATGTGAGAAAAGAAAAAGACAAAGAAAGACGAACCCCCCCCAACTCCAAAAAGAACAACAGAAGAAGAAACATAACTACCTGCCAAGAAATACACCATGGTAGCAAGTGACTCACCGTCAGGTGCCCCGCCTCAAGGTAGTTCCCCAAAAGACCCAGCCACGTGTGTGGGGGTGATCACTTCCAAGGTGATTCGGAGAGCCATGGTGAGGGAGTCCTGATGGATGGTTGCGACATCCATTTCGCACCGAAGAAACCCTGGTTTCTGATTCGAATCCCCGGAATAAACAATGGTTTCAACCATGGTTTTGAAGTGGTGCAGGATTTCGTCCATCTACAGTATGGGGGAATCGGTCAGAATATCGGTAGCTATGGTTCTTTTGGGCGGGAGGTGGGAGTTTCACAAAGAAAGCCAGGGGACAAGCCCGAAGTGTTCCATGGCCTTGGGAAGGCAAAAAGCCTCGAAGTCATCCAAACAGAGTGCCCGCGGGAAAAGCGAAAACAAGACCCCCCCAAGTGTTGCCCTCCACCCCCGATTTTGCACACACACACACGAGCACAGGTGTATACGTTTTGGTTGTTTTTGGGCAGACAAAATGATGGCGATCCCTGGCGGACCTGGTTGTTTCATCTTCAGTCCAGGGCCATCCATTTTCCCAGAAGGGACCCGGGGATTCTTGAGGCAGTTCCGTCTACTTTTGCCAGGTGCAACGGAACGAGGAGCCCATGAAGCTTCAGCACGGAGCACGCGTGGTTGTGCAGGCAACCACAAGACGGACCGCTGCTTTAAACGGCCGCTTGCCTTTTGGTTTCCCTGTAAAATACATTTTTTTCAACCAGGGGTCCCTTGTTTTGAGACATCCCCACAAAATGTGATGGTGTGTCTAATCTGGCATATCCAAATGTGCGCCGCGCTAGACAAACAAGGAGGATGTTTGTCTGCTCTTCTAGATCATGGTTATTCAAATGGGGTAGGTTGCCGGTCGTGAGAAGGTAGTTCTGAGAATGACTCATGTGATACCATTGGTATCACAGATTACGGGTGGTTTTTTCACAACCACGGTGCTGCCTGTTTTTTTTTCCCCCGGCGGCAGGACTTGGCCAATGCTCTGTCAACGTTGATAGCCGTGCTCTTGTGTTAGGGGGTGGGGGGGAAGGGCATCCCGGCTTTAAGACTGAATTTGGTACATGAAACGTCAAGCAAAGGGTTCACAATCAAATGCCCCAATTTCGGCAGAGCAGCGCCCAAAAGCGCCGTCGGCCATAGCAAGAGCGGTTTCCACCGTTGTTTTGTGGGGGAGGGGAGAGGCGGTTTACTGTGCGGCCTATATCAGCTTGCCCAGCCATTTTTGCAAAGCATCAACAGGTGGGTTTTGGGTTGGGTCACTTGGTGCAATCTAATCAATAGGGTTTCCACTACCACCAAAACCACTGCCTCAAAGTAAAACGCGTATTATATACCCTCTGTGTAGTGGTGATCTAATAGTTTTGTGCACTCCCCTACATATTTTTGCTTGAAAGTAGTGGTTTGGGGCATAGCGGAGCTCTTGAATTTGCCCTGGGGTCATCTCGCGCGCCACCGGGTCATTCTTCTCTCAGCAGAGCCTTTGGCTGCGTTGCCGCCATGCCGTGCACCAATGGCAGATGTGCAGGCCGGGCACGGATTCACGAAAGCGCCATGCCTAGGCCTCCCAGATTTGTGCCCTTTCTCACCCAAAAAAGTGGGGGGCGGCTTCCCCTACGAAAATCGACGACAGACCAAAGTCGGGTACCAACTTATTCCAACCTCTCAAATCTGGACCTCGATGATCACAGGCCTCCCTGGCTTGAAGCGTGGACGGTCAACCGTCAAGCTCTCCGATCGGATTGAGACTCCAACAAAACCCAGAGGTTTAATGGGATATATATATATAGTCAAGCCCCCATATGTAGATATATATATATACACTGCCACTGGCCACTGGGCCACTATCTGAAGAGTGTTGCCCTGTTTTTCCTCTTTTGGGTCTTGGAATTCTTGCAAAAGAAGTGTTCTTTGTCTTTGTTCGTTTGAAACCTGCTCAGACCAGATCTTTGTTCGGGGACATGTTACATGTTGGGTGTGTCTTTCAAGGCTCAGCACAGATCCCTTGTGTCTGGGTTGTCTTTCCGGAACAGCCCAAGGAAAACCACCCATTTTGGGTCTCCGAGTCCAGCCCCACAAACAAAAAGCAGAAAAAGAAGCCGCCCGTATTTTTCTTGTTCAGTCGGGCGCTTGGACGCCCAAAAGCGCAAAGAACAAAAATATACCGGCTTGCGCCCGCGGTTGGCTTGGTTGGCTCGTTTGGGGGTGGGGCTCAGGGGGGGGGGGTGAGGTGACGAAGCTCAACGGCGAGGTCTTGGTGAGTTTGCGCGCCGCAGAGGGCGCCGACACCTCCGACCTGGCCGGGCTCAAGGACATGGTGGCGGAGCGCACCCACATCCCGAGGAAGGGGGGGGGTTTGGGAGGGGGCTGGGGTTTGGGTTTGGGGGGGGGTTGGGTTTCGGGGGGAAGGGGGGATTCGGCGCTTGGCCATTATTTTTTCGAATGGAGCTGGCAAAGGTCGAGGTTCTTTCAAAGAAGCAAGGTGAAAAAGATGGCGTCCCTTGAAGGATACAACAAACAATCACCGGGCACATGTAGAATGTAGAAACTCTTTGAAACCGCTTCATAGGCAGATTTTGATTTGGCCAATATGTATGGTTGACGGGACCCTTCCCTTCACCAGTCCTCCTGTTCCGAAGCCACTAATTTCCCTCGGGGAGCCATTTTGCGAAGAGAAGGATCCCTGAATGCATTTTCAATGGACAAGGAGGATACGGCTGGAACCATTCCAAGCGTGTCTTTATAGTGGTTGTGTAGCTATGACATGCAACGACTCTAAGTTTCGCCCAGACCTCAACCCTAATCAAAAAGAATGGTTGGTGGTTATATGAACCCCATTGTTTCAATGGTTTGACTGCCAAGGTTTCTAAGGGAAGCCAAGGATTCTTCAAGGATCCCGGGGCCAAAAAATGGGGCCACCCTAGGGCTCTCAACCCCCCCTCACGCCAGGGACTTCTTCGACCTGGTGGTGGGCCTTCCGGCTCTTTGGCCGCTATTTGTCACGCATGCCCAAGTGCTACCGATCAAAGCACTTTCTGGTTTGGTGGCGTTTTTTGAGGGTGGACTCTCCCGTCCGGGCTTACCCTGGGATTCAAAGCACCATTGAACCATGAGCTTTCCTAAGGAGTTTCTTGACGGGGGCTTCGACAACAGGGTTTGCTCTGGGGCCTTCAGGGAACAGCCATTTGAGTCGCATCGGAAAACTTTGGATCCTTGGGATCTTTGGCTCAAAGGCTTGGCGTTGACCCTTGACCCTTCTGCCCTTCCATTGGACATGATCCCTGGCTGCGAGCCAAACACGTGTGTTCGCTAGCTTGCCACAAGAGTCTACGCAAAGTCTACACTGAATTAATTCCAAGAGTTGGGTGAAGAATCAGAAACTCATGAGGCAGACCTTGAGGATCTCTCCCCTCGGAGTGGCTTTTGCCCAGGGTACACTTGGACAGGGTCTAAACAAAAGAGTCAAAAGCGAAGCTGGGCTACCAAGCTCTCCCCCTTGGCAAAAAATCGGATTTCCCAAATTTGGTCCCAGGTGATGATCATGTTCAACCGGGAGTACAACTGGGAGAAGCTGCTGCGTGACGCCATTGAATCTGGGGATCGGCTTTTGGTGCGATCCATTGCCCGGGTGGTCAACAAGGACCTGCAAAACGGGGCCGTTTTTTTTGGGCGTTTGGGCTGCGGCTTTTTTGGTTGACATGTGTGCAAACACGGGGGCGTTTAGGGTTGGGCGTCTTTTTCAGGGGATGTTGTTTATACAGTAGTGGTTGAAACAAAGGGGGTAGGCCTAATTTCGGCGTGAAGCTTGATGCTTTCTTGGGGCTTCAGTGGAGGCCCAAATAGAAACCAAACAGTTTGCTCCCCCTCATTGCGGTTATAGCATCAGCTCCTTCGCACGGTTTGGAAAATCGTGGCCCAGAGCAGGAATGGATTCCGCTGAGGAAATTCCCTCCCAGTTTTGAGAGGGTGAGGAGAGTCATATTAGGTCCATTCAAATGATTCTGTTCAAGTTGCTTACCCCTTAATTTTGAAACGCCAATTCAATCAGAACCAGATACCCATTGTTTCAACGGCCTCAGAGTTCCCCCCCAGATTCGCCTCTTTGAACCAATTTGCGCATTCCTGGAGACGACGGCAAGCATCGGGAACAACCTGGAACGGTACCCTGAACAAACCAGGCCATCGCAGCCACATGGCTCGCTCAAATGTGGCTCTCGGCGGCGGTTAGGAGGAGAGCGTCTTCTTCTTGCGGCCACTGCACGTGGCGGTGCTATGTCAGGATGCGCACATCTGCCGAATGTTGCTGGATGAGGGAGTGGATGTGAATGCCGTGGCCAGCAACGCCACGGGAGACTGGGCCTGGAAGAAATGGCGGTGGTTTTAGTTTTTGGCAGTGTTCAAGGTATGTTCTGACCTTCCTGTCATCTCAGGGTCCAAGGGTTCTAAACCACAACTGGCTTTCCTTTGTCCAGAAACGGACAACCCCCCTGTGAGGTTCCATGTCAGTGGAGAGGGAACCTTCAAGACAGAACAAGTGACTGGTTCTCAGTAGGGAATGAGTTCGAATGACCCCTATCCCCTCTGGTATCCTTTATTCAGGAATCCCCCAGTTCATTCCCAACTCGGACATTCCCTACCCATCGCACTAGCAAGAAGGACTCAAGTGACACTAGCTCACTTGCTCAAAGCCGACCTTTTGACCTTTTGCACCTTTTGTTTTCCCATGTTGGTCCATTGTTAGTAGAGATGCAAAAAGGTGAACCTTCTGTTTCTGGGTCCAACCTGGGCAGCAGAGCTAATATATTGTTTGTTCTTTCCCATGTGCGGTTCCATGTTGGTGGACAGGAGGGCCCCCTCCAAAAAAGAACCTAAGTGACACTCTTAGAATTGTACATGTCCGTTTTTTGTTTACTCATATTGTTATGTGTATGTATATATATATACACATTGATTTTCTGGTTTGGTGTTTTTCGGCTTCGGCTTCGCAGGCGAGCGAGCGGTGCACATGTGCGCCAAGCGGGGGGACCTGGACACCCTGCGGGCGCTGCTGGAGGCCAAGGCGGAGCTGGGTGCCGCGACGCTGGAGGGCGACACCGCGCTGCACTTCGCGGCGGGCCGGGGGCTCCTCGGCGCGCGCGCGCGTGCGTGGGCGCGGGGGCGGGTTCTGGGGACGTGCTGGGGGGTGTGGAGTTCTGGGGAAAGTTTTCTTCAAACGTTTTTTTTGGTCTGTTGTTGGTTTTAAAGGGAATCTATCGCTAGTGGAAATATGTTATTGTTTCCGGGGGGCTTAAGCAAATGGAGGTTCCGGGGAGAGTTCTGGGCACCGAAGGCGGGTTTTGGGGCAAAGAAGAGAAGAACACGAAAAGGTGGGTGTCATGTAAGAAGGTTGAGAAAGCTCCGACGCCACGAAAAGGTCGGCCCGAAAAGAAGAGGCCGACACAGCCGCCTCTTCTTGTTTTGCTGGAAGCAAGTTCCCAGTTTTAGTGCTTCTAGTTGCCCTTTCAATGGCAACCGGGGGAAATCATCATGTGGAGCGTTGAGGTTCTCGAGAAAAACGAGGGGGGGAGGGTTGAACCCAAACAGGGGTGGACCGAAGGAGGTTCAACCCAAAAAAGGTTGCGCTTCTTCCAAAAGGGGGAATGAGGTTTGGTTTAGTTTCACCGTTTCATCCCCAAACAAGTTTCAGGTTGGATCTTCCAGAATGGGGGGCGTCCAGACCCAAAGTGGTATGAGCGTTCATGCGATTTGGGAGTCAGAAAAAGGACAAAGTTTAGCCAGGGATGAGACGGAGAGTGTTAGAATGTTTGAGGACTTGCTTCCAAGCAGGTGTCTAGCCTTTTCTTTGAAGAACATGCTTGACTTTGTGTGTGTGTGTGTGCAGGGCTGTGGGTTCTGGTTTGAAGAGCGTTTTTTTGTTCTTCTTCTTTTTAGGAAGATCATTTTGGCAATAAGCGCCAGGTGAATTTGTCTGACCAATCACTCAAACTGTTCTTGGAGACGTTTTCCCAGCTTCCATGCAAGCCACTGTGCATGTGTATGTATTTGCAGATCCCGCACGAGCAAAAAACCCTTGGAATTTTCGATGTTCGAAACCAGGGTTCAATATGGTTCCCGTTTCGGGTGGCTCACCTTTTCTCAATTTCGCTTGTGGGCCCAACAACTACAGCAAGCATCAGCAAGCCATCCCCTCACAGCTGCCTAGGCAATCTTAACTTTGGATTCATCCGGAGGACTGTAGTACGAATAGTACGAATCAAAGAGCAACCCGAAACGGACCATTTCCACAAGCTCTCCTGAAGTGGACTGCTTGCCTCGAACTGGCTTTTGCCCTTGCAACTTTCGCAGGCCGCGTTTTGACAAGCCAAGGCACCTACAGATGGCGGAGCTGCTATTGGCTTTCGGGGCAGATCCAAGAGCCGAGAACAACTTCGAGGAGAGGAAATGGCCGAGGAAATGGCCATTTTGCAGGGGGGCTTTTTTTTTCTTTCTCTTTTGTTGTTTGTGTTGTCGTGTTCTTTCTCTTTGCCTTACTGACTGGATTCTGACATGGCAGGAGACCCCCCTTGACAACGCCACCGGACATGACATGGAGCAGTTGTTGAGCTCTCAATGACTCAGCGGCTCTCCGAATGGCGCTGTGTCGATGTCTTTGGCGGACGGTGATTTCGCGCGCTGTACAGCACTGCGCCGAAGCCCAAACTTCTGCTTTTCCAAGGGCCCAGTGATGGGTGACCTGAAGGCTAGACAGGGGAAAGCAGCCACGTGGAGAGTCTCTAGGCGAGTAACTCATACTAGTTCGTTACTGTTTTTCTTTGCTTTGGGAAGAACTTGGGTCGACAACCCAAGTGTCCCACGAGACCAAGAAAGCAAAGATCAATTTCCCCCATGAGTTGGAGGAACCAAGTAAACTCATTTGGGGCCCATGGTGTTTCCAGTTGCACCATGCGCGCGAGTGGAACGCCCATCGCGTGACTGCCAATGCAAGCAGTTCGTTTCCAAGCGCAAGCCGTGAGAACACCAATTGGCAATGCGTTACCAGTTACCACAGGCAACCCGGGGAAGCCATTAAATAGTCTCCCCAGAACATGGGACTCAGGAGCCCTTTGCGGGTTGTTAATTTGCAGTATCCCTGGTTGCCTAGCCGCGAGCCTCAGGGTCAAAACCATGAGTCGATGCCAAAAGTTTCAAAGGGGCACGAGGGAAGGAGCATGGGTCTCGCCAGTTTATTTCCTGAGGTCCCTGAATCCATGCTCGGTTTTCAAGTTCCTCAGGGTGCGCATCCATGTGCCCATTAAGTTTTTAATACCACCCCAAAAGTGGTTGGTGGACATGAATCGCCACATAAATGATGTCCACCAGAGGGCCCCTAATTAAAACTCATGCATCCATGCAAGAAGCTCGACAAGGTTTTGCCCTTGAGGGGGGCACACCTCCGAAATCGGCCAAATTCCGGCGGACTTTCGGTTCCCGCGTCACGATTCGCGCCGGAGCAAAGAAAGATGCCATGCTGAAGCGAAGGTCTGGGGATCAACGTGGTCGAAGGTGGCTGAAGGCAACTGCCAGAAATCGGCCGTTGCAGTTTTTCGGCCCAGTCCGTTCTGAGTTCACACGAAGAATGGGCTGTGTTTGGCCAACCCACGTGGACTTTGACTGCAGAACAGCCCTCGGTGACTATTGGGGGGTTGATCAGTATTCCATTTGGGGCCCCTAATGATGGCTAACTTTTCCATGTGGGAAATATATGATCTGTTTAATGGTTTTCCAAACAATGGTCATCCTATGTGGGGTTCGCTGAACCCCCCATATGGCGATGTTCTTTTTTTTGGGGTGGCGGACCGCCTCCAAAGTGGTTGGTGGACATGGATCCCCACCTAAATGATGTCCCCCAAAGGGTCCCGAATCAAGATTGAGACCTACAAGGTATTCCGGTAGTGCCCTTTCTCACCCCTTGTTTGGTTGGGAGGGTTCCCCTAGTAAAATAGGCGAAACGGAAAAGAGTTGGTACCCTGGTTCTAGCCTCTCTACTAGAGGACCTGGCATAGGACTCTGGCGGAACAGCCTGGCGTCGCCGCGATTCTTCGGGATCCCGGGAGGCGGGGGGCACCCGCTACATCTTCGTGCTGGACCTGCGCCCGGCGGGGATGGGCTTGACGGACCCCCGGGAGTTTCAACAAGGCGGGTAAGGGGGGAGGTGGGGGGGGGGGTGGATGGGATTGGGGTGGTTTTTTTTTGGAGGGGTGGAGGAGGGGTGGAGGAGGGGAGGAGGAGTGGAGGAGGAGTGGAGGAGGAGTGGAGGGTGGGTTGGGATTGGGGTGGAGTGGGGTGCTTCATTTTCAGAAACAGGGATTTCGAACACGCCCGTGGATTGTAAAGGGAAGCCGGGCAGCCATCGCCATCCGTCCTCATAAAAACACGCGGTCGTGGGGCTCATGGACACTTCTGGCCAGTGACCAATGACACAAATCTTGGCATGGAGTTTTGATGTCAAATGCAAGCAGCGAATGAGCTGACCCTGCGCTGTTCCCCCCAGCTCCAAACCCAGCCATATCGCAAGGTTCAACCCCCTCATTCCAACAGCCACACTGACTCACTCCTCGAGTTTATGGACTTTCTAAAAAACTTGTTCCGTGTTTGTTTGCCATTTTAGGGGCAAACCCAACCCAAAAACACGGACCTTCTACCAGCTTTTCCGGTGGTTGGCCGCCATATTTGGGCGGCAAACCAGCCAAGCCTTTGGCTCTGCTTTTTTGGGGGCAGGGCCAGCTCCCCCCGTTCGCTCGACCAGCTCGCGGGTTCCCAGCCGCTTCAGGCGAGGCGAAGGAGCGCCAGGAGCGGAAGCTGAAGAAGCTGAAGGCGCCCCGCCGAAGAGTTGGTTTCGGCGAGGCAAGGACCGCCTCACCAATTAAAGGGCGGGCGCCCTTTCTTCCACGAGGTTCGGTTGCGGCTCATCATGGTGGGAAACATTTTACATTATTGCTTAATTATTGTGGTCTAGTGGTTGAAATCCAACCACTTAAACCATGCTGTTTGTTTTCAACTTTTGCTCCCCTTCCAACGTCAACCAGGCAGAAGCGACACATGTGAGGGTCCTGGACCAACGGCGCAGCAAGGCCGAGTCCCAAAAGGGCCGAATGGCCGGCTGGGGAGGCGGAGTCAATTTGTCATGGGAAGATATGGTGGTTATCAAAGGAAGTTTAGAAGGAACTTCCGTGTTACGGCAACTAATTGAAAGCTAGCTCTCTCTGAGACAGATGAAGAGAAGGAACAAGCACGCGAGAAAATATGGGAATCTGCAAAAAGCGTGGCCCCGTGCGTGAATTGGTGTCTCCGGAGAGCCGAAAGCTAGCCTGTTCGCGGCGCCTGGTCGGACCACTCTCGGACCACTCTCGGAGCGCGTTCGGAGCGCGTTCGGAGCGCGTCGGAGCGCGGGCCCATTGGCACGGCAACGCGAAGGTTTCGCCAGGTTTGAATTGCGTGGCAGGCGCAGCACTTTCGCAAGGCCAAGTACAGATTTCGTGGCAGGCGCAGCACTTTCGCAAGGTCAAGTAAAGATTTCGTAGCAGGCGCAGCACTTTCGCAAGGCCAAGTACAGATTTCCTGGCAGGCGCGGCACTTTCGCAAGTTTAGGTACAGATAGATAGATAAATAGATTAGAAAGAAAGTAGATAGTTAGAGAGATAGACAGGTAGATAGAGAGATAGAGAAGAGATAGATAGATAGATAGATAGAGAAATAGATAGACAGATAGATAGATAGATAGATAGATAGATAGATAGAATTAGATAGATAGAATTAGATAGATAGATAGATACATAGATAGATCGATAGATAGAATTAGATAGATAGATAGTAAGAGAGAGAGAGAGAAAGATAGATACATAGACAGATAGATAGATAGATAGATAGATAGACAGACAGACTAGATAGAAAGTAGATAGAGATAGATAAATAGATAGATAGATAGAAAGAAAGATAGATACAGAAATAGATAGGTAGATTGGTAGATAGATAGATTGGATAGAAAGTAGATAGATAGATAGATAGATAGATTAGAAAGAAAGTAGATAGTTAGAGAGAGAGAGAGAAAGAAAGATAGATAGATAGATGGATAGATAGATAGAAGTAGATAGGTAGATAGATGAATGAATAGACAGATCGATTGACAGATCAAAAGAGAGAGATAGATAGATAGATAGAAAGATGGATAAGGAGATAGATAGATAGGTAGATTAAATAGAAAGTAGATAGAAAGTAGATAGATAGATAGATAGATAGATAGATAAATAGATAGATAGATAGACAGACTAGATAGAAAGTAGATAGTTAGAGAGAGATAGATAGATAAAAAAGAGATAGATAGATGGACAGATAGATGGTTAGGTAGATAGATAGATAAATAGATAGATCGATCGATCGATAGATTAGATTAGATAGGAAGTAGATAGATAGATAGATATATTAGAAAGAAAGTAGATAGTTAGAGAGAGAGAGAGAAAGATAGATAGATAGATAGATAGATGGATAGATAGATAGATAGATAGATAAAGAAGTAGATAGGTGGATAGGTAGATAGATAGATAGACAGATGGAAAGAAAGATAGATAGGTAGATAGAAAGATAGATAGGTAGATTAGATAGAAAGTGGATAGAAAGTAGATAGATAGACAGATACATAGATAACTAGATAGATAGATATATAGATGAAAGTAGTACGTGAAGTCTACTTTCGCAGCTGGGCAAAAATCACAACTTTTAAGTACGAGAGCAGTACGTGAAGTGCACTGTCGCAGTTGGGGCTTGAAAATCGCAACTTTTAAGTACGAAAGTAGTACGTGAAGTCCACTTTCGCAGCTGGGGCTCGAAAATCGCAACTTTTAAGTATGAAAGTACTACGCGCAGTGCACTTTCCGAAAATCGCAACTTTTAAGTACGAAAGTAGCACGCGAAGTCCACTTTCGCAGCTGGGGCTCGAACATCGCAACTTGTAAGTACGAAAGTAGTACGCGAAGTGCACTTTCGCAGCCGGGGCTCGAAAATCGCAACTTTTCAGTACGATTATTGCACGCGAAGTCCACTTTCGCAGCTGGGGCTCGAAAATCGCAACTTTTAAGTACGAAAGTAGTACGTGAAGTCCACATCCGCAGCCGGGGCTCGAAAATCGCAACTTTTAAGTGCGAAAGAAGCACGCGAAGTCCACTTTCGCAGCTGGGGCTCGAAAATCGCATGAAAATCGCAACTTTTAAGTACGAAAGTAGTACGTGAAGTCCACTTTCGCAGCTGGGGCTCGAAAATCGCAACTTGTAAGTACGAAAGTAGTACGTGAAGTCCACTTTCGCAGCTGGGGCTCGAGAATCGCAACTTTTAAGTACGAAAGCCGGGGCTCGAAAATCGCAACTTTTAAGTACGAAAGTAGCACGCGAGGTCCACTTTCGCAGCTGGGGCTCGAAAATCGCAACTTTTAAGTACGAAAGTAGTACGTGAAGTCCACATCCGCAGCTGTGGCAACTTTTAAGTACGAAAGCAGTACGTGTAGTCCACTTTCGCAGCTGAGGCTCGAAGATCGCAACTTTTAAGTACAAAAGTAGTACGCGAAGTTGGAAGCTGAGGCTTGAAAATCGCAACTTTTAAGTACGAAAGTAGTACGCGAAGTCCATTTTCGCCGCTGGAGCTCGAAAATCGCAACTTTTAAGTTTAAGTACGAAAGTAGTACGTGAAGTCCACTTCCGCAGCTGGGGCTCGAGAATCGCAACTTTTAAGTACGAAAGTAGTACGCCAGCCAGAGCGGCGCTCGGCCGCGAGCTGCGCGCCCGCGCAGCACGCACTGGCCCCCGACGAGGACTTTGTGCCAGTGTTTCCCTCATCGGTCAGCATGTGCTTTCAGTTGGATAGCGAGGGCCGCAGGGAGACGCGGCAGCTCTCCCAGCAGGAGGTCGCTCTGCTTCGCCGCCTGGAGGCTTGCGTCTCGGACACGGCACCTGGACGTGGCGTGCTTGCAGGAGGTGACTTCTTCATGCCTGGCTTGCCTGCACGCGCTGGCCGCAGCCTCCGGCTTCAGCGTGGCCAGCCCTGTGCAAAGAGGCCGCTGCAGCGAGGAAGGCTTCGACGTGTGCATCATGCACCGCGACAGCGTAGCGCGTCGGCTTCGTGTCAGTGTTTTGCCGGTGGCGGGCCCCTCGCAGTCGCAGCATGCTGCAAGTACACCTGCAGCTTTTTTTGGGCTTGAGTTTGTGTGTCCACGGCCCACTTGACTTCGTCGAGAGACAGCATGTGGCTGCGAGTCAATTTATAAGGTCCGGAACAGGGTCCGGAACCCACATGCGATCCAGACCTCCGTTCCAGACCTCCGTTCCAGACCTTGCCTAGAAACATGTCCAGACCTTCCGTTCCAGACCTTGTTTATGTATTTATGTCTAGTTTAGAGTATTTACGGTAAGGTGATTTGGTAGGTTATTGACTCCCCCCTTTGTTTTGCCAAATGCTACGCGTTAAGGCTGGTGTTCGAGAGAAGCCTGAGGTGCTAACGATGGGGTTTGCTTGTCGAGCTTTGGTGGTTGGGGGCAGCGGTCCTGTTGACAGATGTGTTTTTGGAACGGCCTGTGAATGTTAAGGGTCAACCCCGCCGCAATCTGTTCGATACGATACGGTAACGGTTCGATACCGCCCTCGGTCGTCACATTGTTGAAACGACCATGTTTACATGCAGCTTGCTACCAAGTGCAAGCCACTCGCGTAACCGTTCCAGACCCCGTTCCAGACCCGTTCCAGACCCGTTCCAGACGTGTTCCAGACACAGCGGAGCAATTTGCCACCAAGTCCACATGCACAGTAGCTACGCTTCTCACGCGTCCCGCCATGCCGCCGAAGAAGCCTGCAAGGAGGTTCCGTATCGTACGGCCGCGCGCCCCTGATCGCTTCATCCATCCATTTATCCATCTTACACTAAATGAACGAGCAAAAGGCTAAACTCTCTCGTCATAAAATATGTCTTCGGCGATTTCGCGTTGCTTGTTTTGTATTTTTCCTCAGGAACGATATAGCGAAGCCCCAAAAACGATAATGTCGCATGACGTGCAACTGGCGCTTCGCGCTTCTATTTTGCACTGTGTGAGCATTTTTTGCCCCAAGCTGTAAGTTGCCATGACAGCTCCTGTCAATGCTCCTCGGCAATGCATGGTGGGCACATGTGTGCACGAGATGGGCCCACCCAGATGGATCGCTAACGCACCCGCGCACACGCACCCACAGGCACCGGCGCACGCTGCGACCTTCGAGCTGGAGCTGCCAAAGTGTAACTTGCGTACTGCGCTGGTACTGAAAGTTGCGAATCGCGACCTGGAAGTTGCAGCCAGCAAGCAAAGCCGCCAATGCTTGGGAGCATGAAGCATAGTCTAGTCCGCTGATCACATGACTACCGCAAGGTAGAAAAGGCTCTTGTGCGCTTGCTTGGCTCTAGCTATAGCAAGTTTGTTTTTTTCGTGACACTACACGCGCCCAGAACGAGACCCAAAACGACACCCCATCGATACTCCGTGAACGTCCCGGAGCAGCCAATGTGAGGCCTACCTAGTGCGTTTGCTTTTTCAACCACACGCGCAGCTCCTTCAGCGCACATCCTTCCGCGCACACAAAGGGCCCGCAACGGGCCAGGCCGCGGACGCCTTGGCGGGCTTGCGCTTGCTCCTCAGAGATCTGCTGCTGCAGGAGGATGGGAAGGCCTGACTTGCCCGAGCAGATCTGTGATCCGGAAGGCTTTGGAGAAGAGCCCGAGCTCCAAGAGTGCTGCCCGAGAAATAGCTCACTGCAGGGGGTTCGCCGGGCACTTTCCAAATCCGCACGGCGTCGCAGGGAGGGCGCTTTGACACGCGCAATCCTCGCAGAGGGTTCATTGGGCGCTTTGCGCGCTCGCGAGACCCGAACAGAGGGTTCTTCGGGCACTGCACCCACGCGCGAAACGCGGAGAACTATAGGGGACTCGTTTAAAGTAGAATGAATACAGCCCACACAGCAAATATTGACGCTGGCTCATGAGTCACGGTCAAAATGTGCGTCGATCACTTTATCAAGGCGGGGTTGGTCTTTGGGTTCCGGAACTGCACGCCTTGTTTTTGTGGTTGCCGGAAGGGCAAAACCATACCCACAAGCCAGCCAAACCATACCCACAAGCCACTGGACACTCAAGATGCGCCTATTGGGTGCTTTTGACCAAAGCTACACTCCCCGGCTTGTTACTCAAAACTGCGTTCCCCGGCTTGCTATTTGGAGGTTGCTGGAAGGGCCAAACCATACCCAAAAGTAATTTTGGAGTGTCGAAAACACCTTTTCGGATCATTCGTGTCAACTGCATTCTGGGCCACCGATTGCTCTCCTTCCTACTGCTCATGCTTCTTGCTTGCACCCGCAGGCGCCACAGTCGGCATGCCAAACCATACCCAAAAGTAATTTTGGAGCGTCGAAAACACCTTTTCGGATCACTCGGGGTGTGAACTGCATTCTGGGCCACCGATTGCTCTCCTTCCTACTGCTCATGCTTCTTGCTTGCACCCGCAGGCGCCACAGTCGGCATGCCAAACCATACCCAAAAGTAATTTTGGAGCGTCGAAAACACCTTTTCGGATCATTCGGGGAGTGTGAACTGCATTCTGGGCCACCGATTGCTCTCCTTCCTACTGCTCATGCTTCTTGCTTGCACCCGCAGGCGCCACAGTCGGCATGCCAAACCATACCCAAAAGTAATTTTGGAGCGTCGAAAACACCTTTTCGGATCACTCGGGTGTGAACTGCATTCTGGGCCACCGATTGCTCTCCTTCCTACTGCTCATGCTTCTTGCTTGCACCCGCAGGCGCCACAGTCGGCACGCCAAACCATACCCAAAAGTAATTTTGGAGCGTCGAAAACACCTTTTCGGATCACTCGAGGAGTGTGAACTGCATTCTGGGCCACCGATTGCTCTCCTTCCTACTGCTCATGCTTCTTGCCAAAAGTAATTTTGGAGCGTCGAAGACACCTTTTCCGATCATTCGCGGAGTGTGAACTGCATTCTGGGCCACCAAAGCACTGCTTGCTCTCCTTCCTACTGCTCGCGCTTCTTGCTTGCGCCCGCAGGCGCCACAGTCGGCATGCCAAACCATACTCAAAAGTAATTTTAGAGCGTCGAAAACACATTTTCGGATCATTCGCGGGGTGTGAACTGCATTCTGGGCCACCGATTGCTCTCCTTCCTACTGCTCATGCTTCTTGCTTGCACCCGCAGGCGCCACAGTCGGCACGCCAAACCATACCCAAAAGTAATTTTAGAGCGTCGAAAACACCTTTTCGGATCATTCGGGGGGTGTGAACTGCATTCTGGGCTGCTCATGCTTCTCGCTTGCACCCGCAGGCGCCACAGTCGGCACGCCAAACCAGACCCAAAAGTAATTTTGGAGCGTCGAAAACACCTTTTCGGATCACTCGGGGGGTGCGAACTGCATTTTTGGCCACCGAAGTACTGCTTGCTCAAAACGATACCAAAAACGACACCGAAACCACACCCCTCGTGCTCGTATGGTGCTTCTGTGCTTCAAGTTGTTTATAAGTCTCGCTTGCAACTACCAAGTCACCGGACAGCAGTCCGGGCTGCGAGGCGCACGCACGCAATGTGTAGCTGGTTTTGGCACATGCCCTGGACTGAGAGAATGGGCAGAATTTTCTGGTTTTGGAGGGCTGTCTGAACGATACTCTGAACGATACCTCAACGACACCCGGAAAGCACAAAAGGCGGGCCACCGCTTACCCATCAATCAGTGGTGGTCAGCGTGTGGGCCCTGCTCCACCTCCCATGCTTGTGGGCGGTCGGGAACCAGCGTCAAAAAGCATGTCATGGAGCTTGCGGGCTGCCTTCCTGCCTTCCTGCCTTCCTGCCTTCCTGCCTTCCTGCCTTCTTCCCTTGCTCCCTTCCTTCTTCTTCTGCCCTGCCTCCCTTCCTCTTCTGCCCTGCCTCCCTTCCTCTTCCTCCCTTCCTCTTCCTCCCTTCCTCTTCCTCCCTTCCTCTTCCTCCCTTCCTCTTCCTCCCTTCCTCTTCCTCCCTTCCTCTTCCTCCCTTCCCTTCCACCCTCCTTTTTCCCTTGCCCCATCCTTCCTTGCTCCCTTACTCCCTGGATTCCTTTATCCCTTCCTCCCCATCCTTCTTCCCTTCGTCCTTTCTCCTCCTGCTTTCTCTTCCTCCCAGTTTCTTTTCCTCTGCTCTCTTCCTCCATTCTTTCTCTTTCCCCCTTCCACCCTTCCTTGACAGAAACACACCAGTGTCTGAAACATTGCAGAACGATATAGCGAAGCCCCCGCCCAAAGTAGTCTTAGGTTTTGCCTCTCGCTCACGTGTGCTTGAGGACTCCACACATGTCTTCCCAGAGGTCCGGAACAACCAGCCTTACGTAACTGACTCGTTCCAGACGTCCGCGTCACCGCGGAACGTTCCACACCAGAATATTGACCCACACCCATGTCTCTGCGGCAGACAGAGCTCGCGTCGTGCTTCGCAAGAATGCAGGGCTTGTAAGTGGACGCTTGCATCCTTGCTGGCGACTTGAACATGCACGCCGGCGAGAGACTCCCGTGCCGTAGCTGGGCAGATGCGTTCGAGGCCGCTGGGAGTCCGGCGGAGCACGAGGGCGCGTGGGAGCCTCTGGAGCCAACAAGTGCAGCCCGCGCGAGCAAGGTGTGGCGGTTTGACCGCATTTTATGGCTGCGCAAGTGCACGCAGCAAGACGAGGACGATGCAGTGCAATGAAGAAAAAGAAGAAAAGAAAGAAAGAAAGAAAGAAAGAAAGAAAGAAAGAAAGAAAGAAAGAAAGAAAGAAAGAAAGAAAGAAAGAAAGAAAGAAAGAAAGGAAGGAAGGAAGGAAGGAAGGAAGGAAGGAGGAAGGAAGGAAGGAAGGAAGGAAGGAAGGAAGGAAGGAAGGAAGGAAGGAAGGAAGGAAAGAAAGAAAGACAGAAAGACAGAATGACGAAAAAAAACAAGAAACAGTAAAAAGGAAGAAGAAGAAGAGAACAAGAATCAAGACAAACAGAGAAAGAGAACTATAGTTTTTATATTTTTGAAACTTCCGCCCACCGGCTTCGCCGGCTCTACTGGTATAATTCTCTATTGCTATTGGGTTGGGTCTTTGGAAAGTGCAAAGCGTTTTGCAGAGGGGTCGTTGCAGCAACCAAGATATGACCCCAAGCACTATTTCAGTGGGAAAAAACCCAGGGATCCGATTTTGGAGCCCTTGAAGGGGACCATTGACGGCTTTAAGGGGGTTTCCTCATGTCAGACTTTTGGATCCCTCCCAGCAGTCATTTTCTTGATTTCGGGGTCGAGGGTGCATCTGACCATGGCTGGATGCTCCCATGTGATTCTGTGGGATTCCGAAAGTTTTTACCATAGGAATCCCAAACCAACCAAAAAAAGAACGAATTTCGGCAGGCCTTTCGAGTCCCCTTGTAACCAGGTTATACTACTAAATAAGGTTCCCTTCGAATTCCGGCCATTTCGCCACATCCGTTTTAGTCGTCGCTGGGGGCTGCTCTTGGGTTCGCCCGGAGGAACAGCTGACAAAGCTGCAGCACTACAGACGGAACCAGGACCCGACTCCTCGTCTTTTTCCCAAGAGGCCCGATTTGTTCCCCGGCAGAACGCACGTGCTTGCATAGATAGCACACCAAACGCGAAATCAATGAGCTTAGCCCCATGAAGGATCCCTTTGGTTGCTCAATCGAATCGAGGTTTTGGACACAAGTTGGTCTTTGTGGCTTGTTTTGGCGCTTTCTGGTTTGTGATGTTGCCGCTTTCAAATGGAGTTCCTTGGGTGGAGGGGTCTTAGCAAGGGTTTGAGCCCTGGGTTTTTTTCTCTCGCAACCTTCACTACGCATGTGAGTCTTGGTTGCGTTGACTGGGGCACCCAAAGGGTGTTTTGGGCGGGCCCCGGGGCTCGATCTTTGCCCGCGCCGAGATCTGCACGTGTCTGGGACGAGTTCTGATGGCAAGTGACCTTGTTGTTATGTGTTTTGCCATTGGGTTCTGTTGAATGGGACCTCCGGATGTATAAACCTTTTTGACTAATAGGTCACCCACACATGTGGCCATGGGTCAAATTCCCGTACCCCCAGTGAACATCCCAATCCCCACTAAAATAGATTCTAAAATGGGTGGTGAATTCACCTACCAACCAAATGGGATCCCAATGGTTTTGACAACCACAACCATGTGTCTACAAGGGGCTACGCCTCGCCACAAGGCTGGTGTGATGGCCAAGGATGTTCCTTGGGCCAGTCGTTGTTGTTAGCCTCATCCCTGTCTTGTGTGGAATTCCGGGCGTGCAGGAAGCGTTTCAGCATGCGCGTGGAACGCGCTCTTTTGGAGCTTTCATGCGGCTGGGGAAGAACATGTTCCCAGAAACATGTCGAAGCACTATTTGTTCAGAACCAAGTGCAGAAAATCCAGGAAGCCTTTTCTTCTCATTCGGGGAGTTGTCCGATTAGATCATGACGGGAAGTCAGGAGCTGCTTCAAGAAAGCGTCGTTTGTATCACGCACCTTGAATGACATTCAAATCCAGGAAGTTTTCTTCAATCGTGAAGGCGATACTCAAAGGTCGCTTGACCTGTGGGTATGTTGTCAAACTTAGGGGAACATCCAACTGGTGTTCCTTTGGTTTCCGCATATTATATATACATATTTATGTATATATAACCATATAACCACCGCCCCGAGAAGGGGTACAGTACCTGCAAAAACCCACGGCACCCGTTGCGAAAATCGGGCTGCAGTTTGACGCTGTCGCGCTGCCGACTCCCTGGAGTGCGAATCGCGTTCAGGACCCTAGGGCCTAGACCAACTAAGCCCCCCATGTGTCGCGAAGTCCGAGCGTGTGTGTTTCGTTTGGTGGAGGGAAGGGGGGGCGGGGGGGTAAAGTCCTCAACGGGGCTGAGTCACTTCTAGTCTTCTTTCTTCTTCTTCGGCTGGAATGTCTCCCTTGGCTATGGTTTGTATATGATACCAGGAGAACGACATCGTGGAGAAGGAGAAGCTCTTTTACGAGCTGCATGCACCCAAGCTGCAATGAGGGGAGACAGAATGAAGGTTGTGTCATATTGATTATCGTAAGGCCTGGACAAACCTTCACATTTGTATCGATAGGAACCAACAGTGAATGGGTTTGCGGCACCGCCCAGTTGGAGATGTGATCTTTCCATTTTCTGGTCCTTGCCTAGGTCCGAAAGGAGACAAATGAAGAATGGATTGTGCAGCTTTTTGGACACATCACACGTATTTTATTTTGCTGCTCCGGTCTGCGTGACTCTCTCGCCTCTGCTTTAAGTCTGCGAGTCACTGTCGGCTGAAAGGCGGCTGGGGCCCATTGGATCAATGGCCACGTTTGATCCGCGACGAAAAGCGTAGGCCTCTGTCGTATTCAAACCAGACAAGGCCAGCACCTGTCCTTTTTCTGCAGTCAAGGGCGTAGTCAGGGTCTATCACGGTACATTGGAGCGGTGACAGAATCGCGGTACATGAGGACCAAACTGGCCTGCTACAAACTTCATGGCTGGCTGGCTGCAGGCAACTTCAGAACACGTGCGTTACGACAAGGCACAAGTTTCGTGATGTGGCCCTCTCGCTTGTGTTGGTCTCTTGGATATTTGCTGTGCATAGCAAATGAAAGCCACAGATCGAGTCTTTGCCAAGCACAACGGTGCTGCATGGTGTTTTTTGTGCTTTTTTTTGGGTTCTTCTTGTGTGTGTAAGTGCCTTTGAGTAGTTTGGGTTGCTCACTGTTTTGGCCTCCTTGCAGAGTCGTCCAACCCCGGGGCATCCCATCTGCAAAACTTGCTTGAGATATGTGTCCTTGCATTCCTGGCATGTAATCTAGATTACAGGGAATGGCTTAGGACACAGGATATCTTTTCCCTTCTCTTTACCCGGCTTTTAATTGGTGAAGATATGCCGGGTAAGGGAAGGTACATGTGTCCCAGCTCATTTGGTCGCTGGGGAAGCAGTAAACCGGCCAGGAAGGAATCTTTGTGTGGCCGGCCATCTCTTCATCTCTATTTCCCATTCTCGTCCTTTTCCCAGCATTGGTGGACGAAATGGGGAGAGATATAGAGATGACACATATATACCTTCTCTATTTGGGAGCGAGGAAAGGAGCGGGATGGAGTTTTCGTGAGTGCGGAAGTGATAGACTGAGATGAAGTCATGAATGGGATGGAAGGTGTAATATCTTTGTCGTCATGTCCATCCCATCCCCTCTCTATCTCTCTTTACCTTTCCCTTACTATCACCTGTTGACACGGAAAGAAGAGGCGAGAGTGAAGATTACAAGGTGTCATCAGGAAAAGAGAGGTGGACCAGAAGATGAGGAAGGAATGAGATTACCTGAGATTTTATGAAGAAGTAGTTGATATTTTCGGAACTTCTTGGAATTCATGTAATGTTTATAAGGATGGAACAATGTTAGGAAAGGATTAATAAACAGATAAAAGGAAAGGGAACTTCTCCTCCCTCAACTTTCGGAATCTTAGGTAATAGAAAGGAAAGATAGAGATGTCATATGAATGAGATAGAGATAGTAACATATCATGATGAAGGTAGATGAGAGAAGGTACATATCGTTTACTATCTATTTCTTGTTTGTTTGCCTTTGGTGGAGTTTCCGAGAGATAGAGAGATAAGGACAGGTATACAATTTCTGGAGATTCAATAATATAATATGCTTCTTTTATTTGTTAGTTACTTCTCTTTTTATATCTTATGTTTTATTATTAACATCCTGTAATTCTTGAATGTTGGCAAGATGAGGAAATAGATAACAGGTGTCCAACATCAAAAGATGTCCGATACACCCTCATTTTAGCACCGCGTTGGGCGTGTCAGATACCACATGCGGGTTCAGGGAAACCAAGGGATAGCCAATCCTTGGGCTATCTCTGTAAAAAATGGACCGAAGGCTCCTGCAGCGGGTTCTAGTATTTAGGATCCGATCGCAAACACGAAACCCATGGGTGTATCATCCGAAAGCAACCCATTTTGTTAGAGCCCATCGTCCGAGGCTTAGGGGCTGTTTTGAGGGTGGCTTTAGGACACCCATAGCCTTTTCAGGTTGGTTTTTCAGCCAAACGGAGCACCACCGTTGCTTTGGCGCATTTTGCCAAGGGATGTCAAAACTTTAACTTGTTGCCAACCTGCATCTTCATTTGAGCAAAAAAAAGTGTGCACAACGGAAAAGTGCGCGTTTCAATCAAAAAACGCGCAAAGTTCCAAGAACTGCGCGATGCGTTTTTGGCTGGTTTGAAAAAAGTGCGGGGTGTGCATAGCCTGGACATGAACCTGTCAAGCTGTTCAAAAACAACTATAGGCAAGGATACATGCGCCTAATCGGCCAGAACTAGATGATCCAAAGAACCAGAGTGCATTTTGGCTATTTACCAACGGAGCGGTTGTCGGGAATAGCCTTCAACATTGCCAAGCCAGCTTGACAGTCAAGTGAAACAAGTTTCAATTCCTTGAAATTGCAAGAAATTCGAACGGCTCTTGCAAGTGGCGCAGCTTCAAGCGACGACCACATGTGGCTCAAAACCGATCTGTTGGTTGGCAATTCGGGCGCTTTAGACATCTGCTGCCTAATTAAAAGGTCAAAAACGCACGCATACATGCGCACACTTTTCGAATTTGCGCGCAATTGCGGATATTTGCGCGATAGTACCGGATTTTTGCGCGCAAATTGCGGGCTGGCAAGGCGCCGAAAATCGACTAATTTCACCTATCAGCGACTTGTCTCAACAAAAATGTGGCGCAAGCACAAATCTGGAGCAAACAGCGGATCCGTGCAAACCCAGGCAATACTTGCGGGCTGGGAGCTCTTGACGGAGCCAAGCGGGTTGCTAAATCAATGGCCTCAAAGTGTCAAGTGCAAGTGATATATAGCTGGTACTTGTGCCGGGTGTGCCACAAATGTCCTGCCTAAAACAGGCTTGGGTGGAGACAAAGAAGAGCTAGACATGCTGTAAACATCAAGGACTTCAACAAACAGCTGCGCCGGCACGGGCACGAGCAGCGCGGTATCGGTTGTTTACACAAGCAGTGCCGAATTTGGCTACCAGAGGAGTTTCATCCGAAAAGTGCGCAAATCTCTCAAAAGTGCGCAAATTCCAAAAAAGAGCGCAAAAACACCACAAAACGCGCAAACAAGCATTTGAGCAGAAAAAAGTGCGCAAACGAAGATTCAGGAACTAATGGGTTTTCCGTATTGCACCGAGCAGAAAGCAACCGAGATTGGGTCTCCCTACTTCAATGGATTCCTTGAGGTGCAAAAGGAGGAGATGGATGTGAAGACTCAGATGTGGAGGGACGAGATCCTTGGCCTCTGCATTTCGCGCACGTTGCACGCGCCGCCTCGAGTTCCGCGGTCGGAACCCCGAAAAAATAGGTGGAACGGGGTACCCGGGTATCCCTTTGAGATGTCTACTATCTGGGAAGGGGGGGGGGTCCAGAATGAAGTAGTTGTGCACTAAATTATTAAGAACTACTGCCATCATCCTATGATCCTATTTGAAGCACCCAGCAAACCTGATTTTGATTATTCCGGCCCTGACTCTGGTAGATTTGCTGCAATGCGTTCGCCGCAAAGTTCGGCTGCAATGATTATGGCCTGTGTGTCAAACGAGCCTTGAGCCTTTCTGGAGAACCCGAGCCCAATTTTAGCCCATCTGATTTCCAAGAGTTGTTCCTTTCAGGTGGCTTCCCTTCAACCAACGGCAGCCGGTTCCCTTTTTGAGACTACGGTTTTCTCCTAGGGCCCCTGGGCCCTTTTGGGAGGCTGTGAGAAGCAGGACACGCGTTTGACCGAGGATCGAGAGAATAAAGGCCGCACCACGGCTGCAAGCAGCATGGGGTGAGCTGGTGGCCTGTACGAGACTCCTTGAGTTGGTGGGCTGAGTTTGGTTCTTTTGGGTGCCGCTGAATATCAGTGGGCAACCTTTTTCGTTGCTGAATCAAGACCCAATCCAGTCACTCACCGGAGGCTGGGCTGAGTTTGGTGGTTGGGTTGCTTTGTGGGGGTTGGTTTCTGGGGGTTGATTCCTTGTCCATCCTTTTCAACCATCGGTTTCTTTTCAAACAAAAACCGATCGCTGTTTCCCGAAGGGTTTTGGGTGGTGGGATTTTTGAAAAGAAGGATGCCTGGAACGAATGGGGAAGGTACCACTAGATGGTTGGCTTGCGTTTAGCTGGTCTGACTCTTGTGATATTCTGTCACGGGAACCTTGGATTTTGCTGGTTTGTCACCATACCGTACTGAGGACACCATACCCTTGGAAGTATTGTCAAGGTGTGCGTTCAAGATTTGCCAAAAGGGTGATCTACAGCGAGCGTCCTTTTCCGATCGCCAGTGAACTAAACACCTCCAACCAAGCCCACTGCCGCTGCCGCTTCCCTGCTAACTCTTGCAATACTTAGTGCGTCAACCGTGTGGCTACAATTGGGTGAACGATGTCACCCCATCAGCCCGTCTTACCAAGCTCCAAATACCGCACTATTTTGAAGCACCAGGTTTTCCCAGGATCATACCCTGAACAAAAGCTTGCCCTGTGCACTTCCTTTATGAGATGGGTGAGGTTGACCCCCTCCCTGTAGATGTTCAGAACCAGATATGGGTGTCTTTTTTAGGGGACCTCCCAAAATGGTCGTTTCCTCTCGGTTTCCCTGTAAAACCGTACCAAAAAAAGGGGGGGGGGGGGGACGGGCCATCAAAACCGTCGGGCTCCAACAAGCCGTGCGATCTCGTGCCGAGGCAACGGAGGAGGTCCGGTCGAAGGTCTCGGAGACGCGGAAGGGGTGGAAGAAGAGGCTGGTGGAGATCCACCAGGGCAACGAGGCCGTGGAAAACCACGGGGGAAGGGGGGGGAAGGGTGGGTAGGTGGGTGGGTGCGGTTTGCATGGGCCGTTTTTCGTCTTGGGTTGGCTGGGTCTTCTTTTTTTTTTCCTGCAAAGGGTTTCTTGGGTTGACTGCCCGCATTCTGAAATGATCCGTCTTTCCAGAGCAAGGCGAAGGGGGTTTTGGGGGGCCACTTGCTGTGATGCTGAAGGGGTTTACAACCTTTTTCCGCACCAGCTACCAAAGTAACCTCCGTTGATTTTGACAAAGCGCTACTTTGGAAACGCGAGGCCCAACAAAGAACATTGGCATGCTACACGGATCCGTATATGTCCTTTGGGTGATTCAATCCTCACGTGGGTCAGGTTAGTTGGGGTAATGTCCGAGCTGAAATTCCGGTGTTATCTGAGTTTTGGAGCCCCCTTGAAGTGGCAGTCATCGAAAGGGTGAACTCTTGAGCCTTGGGCCGAAGTTCGGCCATTCACGAGCCTTGGGCCTCGTCTTGCAGGGGTGGGCTCAAAACCCAAATAAGTTTTGGGCCAGAACTTCTGGCATTCATCGCAAGTAGGGTGAGCTCTTTATTTTTGGCCGAATTCAGTTTGGCCCAGTTGGCAAATTGGGACCCTGCGGAGGTTTGCACAATTTTCTCGGAGTACCTTCCTCATTCTTTCCAGGGATTGTTTCAGGAAACACCAAGGGAGAACAGATGGCTGTGGCTCAAAAAAATGTACCAAAATTGCACCTTGGTAAATGGAACCAAAGACTAAAACCCGCGTAAGCCTAGCTCTCTAATTTTGAGCCACACCCAGATGGTTGAACAGAATGGAACAGGAATCGCCCCCTAGAAATTTGACTGGTGAGATCGGGCTGGGTCCGACACGTTCGAGGTGGCTGCGAAGCCCCTCACGGAGAGGACCATCGAGAAGCAGGAGAGGGATGTGGGTATGACCAGTGGCTTTTTTTTGTTCTGGGGGGGTCCCATGTGTTTTGTTTCTTGTTGTTGTTTCTTCTTCTTTTTTTTTGGGGGGTTAACGGGAAACCAAAGCAAGATCACGTTTTGGGGGATTCCCCCAGAAAAGGACACCGATTTGTGTCATCTTCCCACACGGCGGATTTTGCGCCGTCGACATTTCCCAAGCGGAGGCGCTCTCCGATCCCTTGAACGGGGTTGTCCGGCATGGGTTAAGTGGTTGGCGCAATTACCCAGTTGCCCAGTGCGCCCTTTTGTCCGTTTTTTGTGGGAAGGGGTCCCCTTTAAACTCAACCAACCAAAAAAGGATGCCCTTCTTTTCGCATGGCCGCTGGGCATCTGAGGTTAATTTCTGACTTTATTTGTGGGCATCGTTGGCTTGAGGACGAGAAGCGGGGCCCACCCAACTTCAAAAGCGGTACGGGCCTTATTTTCCCATGTCTTGGGGAAAAAGTCAACTTGGCCTCTGCTCACATGGAGATTCACGTCCGAAGATTGGTGAAGCATGTCATTGACATGGCGAGAGGAGATGCAATCTGATTTTCATGCATGCCGTCCGTTTTGTGGTGGCGATAGGCAAACTCTCTCCCTCTCTCTCTCTCTCTCTCTCTCTCTCTCCCTCTCTCTCTCTCTCTCTCTCTCTCTCTCTCTCTCTCTCTCTCTCTCTTTCTCTCTCTCTCTCTCTCTCTGCGGCAAAGTCTGAACTTCCGCTGCAGGTTCATGATTAGTGGTCAGTGGTTTCATGGTCAACGATTACCGTCAATGATTAATAGTGTCAATGGTGTCAATGCTGAAAAAATATATATAGTTTTAATGATCAATGGTTAATGCTTGCTATTGATTCTGCGGTGTTAGTCGGTAAGTTTGCTCTTACAAAACGGAACGCACTGTGATTGATTCAACGATCACCAGAATAGAGGAGGGCTGACTGATCAGCCCGTCGACTTTGTTGGCCTTCAGTCAAAGTTTGTTTGTTCCTGCGTGCCGTAGGCTTTGGGACATGGCACAAAGATAGTCCGACAGGGTCTTATCACCAGCATCAGAAAGGACCCGCCATTGGAGTGGTCGAAACGGATCTGGACTGGAAGGCCTTGGATCTCAAGCATGGGGTCTTTGCGTGAATGAAATACCCTGGCTCGCTCGAAGGAGCAAGTGGGGAAGTTGGAGCTGGAGCGACTTGGACGCAACCGGATGCGCATTACGGCTGTTTCCAAAGCCCGTGTGAAGGAAGAATTCCTTCTCAAATGGTACCTCCCCCAAGAAGAGCCGTCGAGTTTATCAATCGTGTGTTTTGGGTTCTCCGTTATCCAGACACAGTCAAAGAGTCTTTCGACTCTGCAATTGGCTTTGTCTTTGGAAGCTTTCCGGAGAAAAATGGCGATGCCCTATGTATTCCCCTTACCCCCTTACACACCCTGAAACAAACAAATGTTGTTGACTTCTGGTTGATCCCGGTCGTGTTTGATCTTGGCCCGTTATGCTGCAACATTTCACCCTTGAGTCCCCATGCCGCAGCTCGAGACTCTCTCGGCTCAAGCAGGAAACAATGACAGCTGCAGTTCCTTGTGGGGCTGACCTGGAAAGAGCGGAATGGCCTACCCTTGTTTTTTTCTACCAGGGTCACTTTGCAACCGAGACACATTGCTGACGACAGCCTGAGTCCGGGAATCTCTTACAAACTCGCCCCAGCCTTGCACGCGAGAAGATCCGCTCTTAACACGGCCACAGGAACACCGTATCTCCACAAAACCGTCGATATGAAGAGGCGGAGCTCCAAAATCAATTTTACTATACATCATACATCCTTAAAGGCTGAATTAAGGATCCCCAAGTACAGGACCTCTATCAAGCGCCAGCTGCGATTTTGGAGCCAAGAATCCGCCCGGCCGCCTGGCCGTGCCGGGCGCCCGGGCCAACAAGCCGTCTCGGCTGGCCCACGTCGCGCACCGCGCAGCGCGCAGCGCGGCGCCCATGGCATGCAAGCCATCCTCGAGCAGGCGGGGAGCAAATGCGGGGTATGGCCAAGGGCATTCGGTAGTTGTTGTTCTTGGTGGCTCCCAGCCATCCGGTTCCTTAGCTTTTTAGCCTTTTAGTGTTTAGTGGTGGTTTTTCATTGAAGCCACTAAAAGTTACACTTTTCGCGGGGGATCTGAGGGCAGCCCAGTGTTGTTTTGTTGTTGTTTTTTTGGTGAAGGTACCCTCTTGGGATGTTGGGGTTCCTCCAAAAAGCACCCACGCATTTGTATACTGATTTGGGAGGACGTGGGGCTCGATTTGCCCATGTCCTCTTGGGGAAAGTGAGGTTCCGGGGCTCATATGTAAAGAGTTTGGGTTTTTGGCGCAGCTTGGGTCATGCTAGCGATATGCTTTCGCATGGCCATTGTTTCGAGTGTGCCTGCAGGTGGTCTTATGTTGAAGAATTTGGGGTCGCTTTAGGCAGGTGGCAGGCTGGTTTAGCACTGCTGTAGGGCGGCGGGCAAGATTCTTGCCAAGCGGCTCGCGTAAGCCTCTCGCGAGCAGCTGGATTAGGGTCGGTTTTGGGCATCTTTATTTAGGTTGAGTTCGGACGGGTTTGACCTGGGGGTCAGCTGAGTGATGGTGCATGGTGCAGCAAGGACTGGGTTGGGGTTGGTTTTTGGGGGACGTTGAGCTTGCCTCAGACTCATTCGGTTACTTGGCGTGGGCGTGGGGAATGTTTGGGTCTGGACGCCGGGGAATCATCAGCAACAAGGGTTTCTGAGGCGGTGCACGATTTCGCCCATCCACGCTATCTTGTTGGAATCGGACCCTTGGTGGAATCGTTCCTGACTCCCTGCCACTATTTTTGGGCGAGAAGCGAATTCTGACTGAGGGATGCCAGCTGATGCTCGCAAGTCGGGATGGAATCCATGTCTTTGGCTGTGGCCCCAAATTGCCAAAGGGGCCGGCGTCAAGCGGTCATGGATTCTTAACTGTTGGTTTCTCCATGTGCGAGCTGCCCTTCAGAGGATTTACAATTCATCAGGTTCTCCTCAAGTGGTTTGGGGATTTGAACCTCGGTTCTTGAGGGAAAATGGGAAAGCCCTAGCCGGCAAAGCACCAATCCAACCCACCAATCATTCTAGGGGTTGATTCCCCATTCTTTTTGAACCATCGTTCTTTCCAAACACAGGCCGTTCTCCCTGGGTTTCCGGAGGTTGACTAGAAAGGAGGATCCCTGGAAAGAATGGGAAAGGTACCCCTAGAATCAGAGGGAAGCTGCACGAAATTCCGGCAGTTCGGGCGGTTTTGAGTTGAGACATGCCGTCAGGCCAAGCAGCTTGAGCAGTCCATCCAGGATTTGGAGAAGAGGCGGGGGAGTTGCGGCATGGCGATGGCAACGGTGCCGCGTTGCCACGTCTTTACCGGACAGTCGCCCGGACATTGGGGTCTCTCGGGTTACATATTCGCAAGGGGGTTTGATGGGATTGCTTTTGAAGAAGTCCAACATGAAGCTGTTGTTTGTTTGTCAACGTTTTGAGATAAATCCATATCTCGGTTAGCTAACTTATTTCCTTTTGTGGAACCAAGTAGGTAAAGCTATACATGATAGATGTGCCAAAGCCAGGGACCACCCCTTTTTGGTCCGGACGGTTCGGATGCGCCTATTGCTCCACCAGTGTGACTAAAAGAGCGAAAAGAGAAGAGCTGTAAACGCGTGTAAACGCACTGGCAGAATGGCCACAAGATATCGCATACTTGCTTACTGGATTAGTGTCATCTTTCCAGTTCATCTCATGACTTTTTCAGAGCCTAAAGATCTCCACTTCCACCCGGGGGTTCCGGGTGGCAAACAAAATATTGCCCAATTCCCCTACCGGTGAGCGGTTGCGACATCCGGAAATCGCAGCACGAAATTTGAGCCCATGGGAATGAAACCCGGAAACCGTTGGGTTTCGTTGGTATTTGGCGTTCGCCCCAGCTCCAGATTGATTTAGGGCCTGAAAAACCAACCAGGTTTTGAGACCCCGAACTAGCTAACTACCTCCGGGGGTGTCTAATGGAGCCGGGTCCAAAAGCCCCAGCCTCCGGGGTTTTGTTGGTTTTGTGGGTACGAAATGAAACTGGAAGCCGCATCAGGCACCGACCGCCGGGTGTGAGTTTCTGAGTTCGGTTTCTGGCGGAAAACTGGACGCCAGGAAGAGCCAGCTGGAGCTCGAGGTGGAGACCCTCTCGGAGGAGCCGGCTACGGTTCGGCTCAAAGAAGCGGTGGGTTCGGTCGGCTTTCTGTAGACTTAGGATACATTTTACATTTTACCAGTGACTCATTTACTTGTCGGATTCCCCGAAATATGTCCTTTTAACCAGCAAGAAGTTAAACTTTTTTGCTGGGGGATCTACAGCACCCAAGGTGGGTCGGCATTTTTTGAGGCTACCAACTGTTTTAGAGGGTAGCCGTTTTGAGGTGGTCAGGTCAAGCTTGTGGCTGGTTGCGGCCTGTTTTTGGAGGGTACCAACTGTTCTAGAGGGTATATGTCGTTTTGGGCGTTTTAGAGTTGGTTTGAGCGAGGCCAAAAGGACAGCCACCATTTTTGGCGGGGGCCCTCATACCCATACGAGGTTCGGTTGCGGTTCATCATGGTTGTTGTTGGGACACATTTTGCATTTTTGCTTATTGTGGTTTAGTGGTTGAAATCCCCACTTAACTGCAAGGATCTAAATTTTTGCTCCCCTACCAACGTCAACCAAGTCGTATGAGCGTGCATGTTCTGTTCCTCAAGGAGCAATTTTCCTTGTGCCTGGGCATTTGGAGCACTCCTTGATGGGCGTGTCTCATGCCTGAAGGCTGCCCTTTGCAGGTGTTTCGCAAGGAAACGGAAGCCGTTCCGAGGGTTTTCCCTTTTCCAAGACACCCTTGTGGTGCCAACTAGCTTGAGCGGCGTCAGCCTCGTAGTCATAGTTGATCAGTATTGACGTGCTGTTTTGTCCAATATTGTTTGGAGTGATTTACCGAGATAGAGCCGCAAATGCGTGGCTTTGGAGGCATGCCAGTCTTTTCCAGGCAAAGAGGCAACCTTTTGGGGGCCTTTCAGTCTCCTTTTGAACGTTGACATAGGGTCCCCCAGATTAATCAACCTGTCCGAACTGTTGCTTCTTTTTTTTTTTTTTGGGGGGGGGGGGGGACGTTCCCTCCAAAAGTCTGGTTTCTTAATCTGGGGTTCCCCTAGTTCCTTGGTGACTTGGGTTGGTGGTCTCTTCATTTGAACCGATTTGACCCCTGGCTTTTGTAGAGGGCAAATGGGACACCACCCCTAAAAAAAGCCAAACCACCGCGTAGGCACTTAGCTCTGTGGTTCATGGACCGCGGCCTCGTGTACATCAAGCGAGTTCGGAACCACCAAAGAAGCGCAAGGGAGAATCGTTGTGTCACAATGAGCCATCGAATGTTTCAAATAACCCTTATAGCCCATACGGCAGTGTTTGAGGGATGTTCTATTGGGTTTCCCTTATATGGAGGTTGATCCATATTCCATCATTTGGCCCCCAAATGACCATGGGTAACTCTCTCTCTCTCTCTCTTTCTCTCTTTTCCCATGTGGTTGAACTATCACATCTTCTTCGTGGTCTTCTATCCCATGGTTCATCCCATGTAAAGGTCGGTTTGATGAACCCCCCCTGGTTTTGGATGGAGCCTCGAGGAGTGCCACCGGAAGCGTGAGGAGCTGGCGGAGCATGCGGAACGCTTAAGCCTTATGGAGTGCAGTCTGTCGGCGGTTTCCAGGGCGCAAAGCGGGGCGCCCGAGTTGTTTTCTCCCTTTTGGTCAGTCTCAAAGCAGAGCTTCTAAACATCACTTTGTGGGGAAGCCAAGTTGAAGTTCCTTTTGTTCCTTTTTTGGTGGGTTGCTGTTTTAGGGGGGCACCTCCTGAACCTTCTCAAAATCATCCCACAGCTCCATTCTTCATCGTACTGGCCGGCTTTAAAGACAAGAGGTAAACTGCCATTGCAAATGTCCACTATCTCAAAACACACCACATGCCTGCGCAAGCAGCCATCTTTTTTGAGGCTCGGCTCATTGGAACTGGCGATACTCTGTCCTTTTGGGTTTGAATGTTACGAGTTGGAACCCCTGAAAGTGGTGGACATGCAACCAAAGCTACATGAAGCGACCAAAGCTACATGAAGCTACATGTTTTTTTGAGCAACCAAAGCTAC